AACACGCTCGGCAAAGCGGCCCGCCTGAACAGACCCTCACCAGAGGGCAAGGACGCCGTGGGGAGATGTGCCACGTCGTGGCATCAGGGGCCTGCAGGTCAAAGCACCCGTGCGACGTTGCTACACGCCTGTCAGCATGGCCCAAATCCAGAACACAGACGACGCCAAGTGCTGATGAGGGTGGGAAGCAGCAGGAACCCCCCTTCCGACGCAAAACGGTGCAGCCATTCTGGAAGAGTTTGGTGTTTTCTTACAAAGGTCAACACACTTTTATCATATGACACGGAAATCACATCCTACTAAAAATACAAAAAATTAGCTGGGCATGGTGGAGCATGGAGGCTGAGGCAGGAGGATCACTGGAATCTGGGAGGCAGAGGCTGCAGTGAGCTGAGATCACGCCACTATACTGCTGCACTCCAGCCTGGGCCACAGAGCGAGACTTCCTCTCAAAAAGAAAAAGAAAGAAAGAAAGAAAAAGAAAATACACGAAGGCATCTTAAATGCATATTTCTGAGTGAGAGAGGGCAGTCTGAAAAGGCTCCACGCTGTGATCTCCATGATGTGGCGTCCTGGCCAGGGCAACGCTGTGGAGAAGTGAAGGGCTGGTTGCCTCGGTTGCGGGAGGGAGGGATGGAGAGGCAGAGCCCAGAGGACTTAGGGGCGGTGAAACCCCTCTGCATGATGCTGACGGGGTGGACCCACGCCCTTCCATGTTAGCCAAAACCCACAGAATGTCCACCAAGAGTGAGCCCTGGTTGGGACTGTGGGTGAGGCTACGTGGATGCAGGTTCACGTGGAGATGAAGGCACACTGTGGTAGGGGACGGTGACAGTGGGGAGGCTGAGTGTGTGTGGGGGCCATCTCTGCACCTTCTGATCAATTTTGTTGTGAACCTCAAACTGCTGTAGTAATGAAACGTTATTAAAAAAACAAAAGAACTCTGGCCCATGGTCTGCAGCAATGAAAATACCCACACCTGCGGCAGCCAGCCCCAGGGCCCGCAGCTGATCGGCGGCTGACGGCTTCCCTAACTGGCGTCCCCCCCTTGCAACGCATATCCCAACTCTAAACGGGCCCTCCCTAATCCCAGCCCAGAAGGTCGCCTGCTTCTGGTGTGCCTCCAGCTCCTCAGGCCAGCAGCCTCCGTAGGGGCTTACCTGGGGGCTTCCCCTCTGAAGCTTGCCACTCTCCTGCCTGCCTGGGAGGCTTTGCCAGGCAGGCAGTGGTGGCTGATCCCTTTGCTGCAGGCAGCTCTGCCAGTTCTCATTTGGGAGGTCTTTGTTCCTTTCCAAAGTTCATGCAGGCACCCGTGGTGGACATTCGGGCCCTTTCCGCCTTGAGGCCGTGGTAGACAGGCTGCCGTGGTGCTGGCGCACAGCTCCTACGTGGGTGACTGCCTGCCGTTCGCTGCGTCCTAAAGCCGGACCCCGCTCTGTCCTGCCTCTCCGGCTTCCTGGAGCCTCCAGGTGGCCTGATGGTCTCAGGAACCCAGGACCACAAACCCCATTGTGGGACAGAGGAAGAGCCGGCTTGCGCCCTCGGGGTCTTGGGTGGCCTCAGGGCCTCTTTGGGGTTGGGGTCATGCTCAGGCTCTGGCCCACTGCCTTGTCATCTCAGAATTTCTTTCTTATTCCCCGGAACTGGGGGAGTGAATTCCCTCCGGCTTCCCTGTCCTGAATGAGGACCAAGTCTTGTGGGAGAGGTTGTCCGGCCATGGAGAGCCTGGAGCCTTCCACCAGCAGGGGCGGCGGCCTCTCTCCCAGAGCCTCCTCGAGGTACCTTTGCGGTTCATGCCTTTCTCCGGCCCCCCCTGTCGGCACAAAAGCCACCTCGTGCTGGCCATTTTACCCCAAATGAGGACACGATCTGTGGAAGACTTTTGCTGCCATGAGAATTAAGGTTAATGCTTCTCAAAATAGCTTCTCTGCAAATAACTGACAAGCTCACTTGGCCCAAAACGCATCTGAAGGGGAATGAAAAAGCATGTCTTTTCCCAGAAAACAGATTCCTCATTGACACATTTTTTTTCTCCTGTTGATTTTTCCCTGTTTCCAAAATGGAGCGTTTTCCCTCCGTCTTTTCTGCGAGGAGCTGCCGCAGGAAGACAAAGTCCGCTTGTCAGCAAGACTCTGTGAGTCTCTGTTCGCCTTCCCTCTGGGGTCACCCTAACAATAGGGCCATTATCAGAGAGCTCCCTTATTCCATAGATTTTTCCTCCCCCTCCAGGGCTAATGAGGAGAAGTTTGCCAGGCTGAACAAAGATGGGAAGGGTTTTCACTCGCACGGAGCCGCAGCGTGGCCAGCTCCAGGGAAGGGCCATGACGGGGAGGGTGGTACTGTCACTGGAGTGCTGTGACTGACTTTTGGGAGCAGGGCCATCCATCAGTTCTGTGATTCACATGATTTTTCCTCTGAGAGCGGAAACGTGTTTCCCAGAGAGAAGCCTTTCAAGCTGTCTCTGGGCCTCGGGCTCCCCAGGGCCAAGCCACATCTGACCCACGGGGCTTAAGGTCTCACGGCCGCTTTGTCGAGCACCTCGGGAAGGGAAGGAGCCTGGAAACATTGAACCGCCCTGTCCCCCCACCCCCCACTGCGGAAACTTCCTGTGGTGGTGTTAGAACATAAAAAAGCTCAACATCCCTGGCTGGGGGCTGGGATCTCCCTTTTGGCTGCGGCCGGGAGCTGCTGTTGGGGACCCCAGACCCACACTTCCCGTTACCTTCATCAGAACCTGCTCTGGCCCCTCAGTGGACTTGGGAGGCCCTGGCGATCCCAGAATCCTTGCTGAGCAGTGGCTCTCACGGCAAACCACTGACTCCCTCAACCCTTCATTCATTCAGGCCAGCAGCCTTCTCCCAAGCATGGCCCCCAGCCAGGCTTTGGGGACGGAGGGATGAATCAGGGAGCGCCCATGGGTCGTCACAGCCCCCAAGTCCAGGGCCTGTGCTAGTTTTGGACTCAGTGGACGGAGGCCACGGGTCCTCTGCGTGACCTGGGGTCTGAAGGTGCTGGTCTGCGGGGGGACTTGAGCACTTCAGCCGCGCTGGAGGAAGGTGACATATTTCCCTGCCTGTCAAGAAGCTGCCTGCAGCTTCCGCCCCTCATGCATGTGGGAAGGGTAGGGAGGGTTTTGTCAGGCAGGCAGCCCAGAGCTCAGACCGTGAGGAAGAGGCACTGCCCAGCCCCTCCCGTGTGGTCCGGCAGGTGGGGAGGATCTGTTGCCGGTGTGGGTCTGGGCGTTCAGGGCTGCCCTCCGGGGTCTGGAGTGGCTGAGGAGGGGTCAGGGGTAGAGAGTGGGGCAGGGAGGCTCAGGCAGGTGAGACGGGAATAGGCATGGCCAAGGCGGTAGCTGTGACGGGCTGAAGTGAGCGGGTGTCAGGCATCATAAATGTCAGTCTTATAATCAGCCTGGGTCACTCTCAGACAGGGGCCCTCGGAACAAGACACTGCTGAGAGATGCTCGAGGGCCCACGGTGTTGACTCCGAAGCGAAGCTGTTGACTACATGTGGGCAATGACTGCCTGCTTCCCCAAAACCCTAGCCTGGCCTGCGTTCCCGGCGCTGAGGGGTAAGGGAGGGGAGGGGTGGAGGGGCACAGCTCCAGAGGCCTGGCCCACCAGACACATTCAGGAGGGAGCCCAGGAGACATCAGAGGCCCTGGCGGTGGTGGGGGCGGGAGGCCTGGCCAGCCTGGAGACTGCGGGCCTAGGGGCCTCCTGGGTGACATCAGTTAACGTCTGTGTCAGCAGAGAGCCAGTGGGGACCTGCATGGGTGAGACGGTTTGGGGCAGTCCTGGCTGGGAAGCCGGGCTTTTGAGATTACCCACCCTAGGCTTCTGGGTCAGGGCAGAGTCGGGGTGGAGGATGGAGCCTGTCCCAGAGGCAGGAAGGCCCCAGGAAGAAATCCAAGGGCACCAGGGGGCGGGGGGGCCGGAGACCAGAGAAGCCCTGAGGGGCCTGGGTCTGCGCCAGCTCCGGCCTCTGCTCACCCTGCACCCCACGGGCCTGTCCTCTGTCTGGCAGCTTCAGGCCATGTGAAGTGCGGGCGGACACAGCTTCCAGGGAGGCTGGCGGGGTGGGGGCACCCTTAGGAAAGAGGTCCCCAAACCCCGGGCCGTGGGCCAGGACCAGTTCACGGCTTGTGAGGAACTGGGCCACACAGCGTGGGGTGAGCAGCGGGTGAGGGAGCGAAGCCTCCTCCATACGGACACCCGAGCCCATCACCGCCTCGCCGCCTGAGCTCGCCCGCCCGTCAGATCAATGGCTGCTGGAGATTCTCACAGGAGCTCGCATCCTGCTGTGAACTGCGCTTGCCAGGGAGCCACGCTCCTTATGAGAACCTAATGCCTGACGATCTCCGTGTCTCCATCACCCTCAGATGGGACCATGCAGATGCAGGAGAACGAGCTGAGGACTCCCACGGATTCTACACGATGCTGAGTTGTAGAATTGTTTCGTCATATCCTGTGATGTACTCATTATAGCAACAAAGCGCACATTAAATTTAACGCTCCAGAGTCATCCCCAAACCATCCCTCCCCTGATCTACGGAAAAACGGTCTGCCATGAAACCGGTGCCTGCTGCTAAAAGGCGTGGGGAGTGCTGCTGTGGAAGACGGGTTCCCCCAGCACCTCCAGGAGGGAAGGCTGCATCCCCAGGAGGCCTGTGGGGTGGGCCCTGGGTCGCCGGCACGTGGAGGCGGGGACAGCTGGGGACAGGCTGGAGACTGCTGCATCTGGAGGCCGTCCTGCTTTGGGGAGAGACACACCTGCAGGTCACCGTGGTCGCTGAGGGGCCATCCAGGGAGTTGATGCCTTTCTGAGCTTGTTCTTTTCTGGAAAATGGGAATAGCCAGGAGCCTGCCCTGGAGGGTGGAGGGTGCAAAGCTCCCTGGGCATCAGGGCCTGGCCCTGGGACCCCTCAGTCAAGGCCAGGAAGCCTGGACCTTGGCCGAGCCCCGGCTTGCTCCTCCTCTCCCTCAATGAAGCACCGAGACTTAGAAAAGCACACAGATTTATTGCATATCAATCTCATGTATAAATTCATTGTAGCATTGGAAAGATACAGTCCTATTCTACAGCATTAACCTCAAAATCAGCTTCTCCTAGGCTTTATCTTCAGGAAATTTCTCTACACAAGTACATTTGTCTTTATCACAAGCATCAGAATGCAATTTGCAAAATTGTTATTTTAATGATTCCCGACACTTCACGTCTCCTTCATCCTTCTCCCACAGCGATTTCCACATTAATTTCGAACTGCGCCTTTTCTGCGTGGGCAGTTCAGGACTCCTAGTCTCGGACGTCGGTCCTAATCACATATTCAATAAGTGCATCTACGGAATTTTCCTTTTAATAAAAATTTCACCAACAGACACGATAATGACTGCTTAAGCAGGAGTCATGCACGGTTTACTTCTAAACAGAACAGAAGCCATTTACAATCAAGGGGGACACGGGGTGAGCGCCAGCCTCCTTCTCAATGGTCTTTTTTAAACGTTATATGGAAACCAGACATTTGTATTTGATTTCTTTTTCAACGCTATACAGTTCTAAAAGGAAAAAAACAAAAACAAAACCAAATCTGTAACATAACGATGGCAAAAGGTGGCGGGCGGCACAGGTCTGCGATTCCACCAGGATCCTCTCCATATACCTTAAGGGACAAAGTCAGTGCGCACACACACGCTGTAAGTTACGGGTTCGGACACCAGGGCTCAGCGCCCCTCGGGCTGAAAGAGCAGAGGCGATGCGCACGGCCCTGAAGGCGATCGTTCGAGTGACTTTTGTTCACAAGTGAGTCGCACGTTTGGAAACTCAAGCTGCCTTTTATTTATTCTATTTTATTTTTTCCAAAAGTGGTAATATGAATCAGTGACAGAAAAGAACAAAACAAACACAAAAATGGAATGGAAGGGGCGGAGGAACCCTTCTCGGGAGAATGCAAGAACATTTTCGTCACAGTATCACTCATTGCTACAGAGACACAGTTTCATGGCTTTTGATACCCGGCTGACCTCCACTGGCCAGGAGCAGCTGTGTCCTGGTGTCCCTGGCTGGGAGGGGCCCGTTGCCCCCCCCACCAGGCCGCAGTGCAGGGGAGCTCTCCTCTCCCTCCCCCAGGACAGTGAATATAGCTCAGTAGGTTTCAGTCACTTGGGCAGGGGGACAGGGGACAGAGGGGCAGGGGACCACAATCCAGTGTTCGAGGCCTCGAGTCTAAAACACGTGATATGTATTCAGGCAAGTGCTTTGCAGATGCTCACGGGGAAGTGGGGAAGGCAGAAGACTCCAGGGCCCTTGGATTTCCAGGGTCAGACTCAGAGGATGTGGAGGCCTTGGCCAGTCGGGGTGTGGATGGGCAGCGGCCTCATAAAGGAAGGCCTCTGCGGCTGGGCAGTCACACAGGACACACCATGCCCACCCCAGTCACTGCTCCACACCTCAGGGCCCCAGGCAGGGTGCAGGGGCTCACCCCTCTGGGTTGGAGTCAGTGACATCTTGGGTCCCACTTGTGAAGGGTCTGCTGGGCCCACAGAGGAGCAGCCCCGAGTGCCCAACCTGGGAATGAGAGCAGGAACGAGGTGGGGACATTGGCTCGCTGGGGGCTGGGGTCTGAGGAGCAGCACAGGCCAGGTGCAACGTGGCCTCCTTTGGAATTTCCACTTGGGGGATGGAGGGGCCACAATCCAAGGAGTAAGCATTGGGACAGCATTCGGGTGGAATGGAAGGGCCCTGGGCAGACGTGGCCAGGTGGGACCCCTGGTTTGCAGCCCTGACCCTGGCCATGGACATAGCCGGCTGCCCCATCACATCCCTGTCCATACCACACAGCACCAGGGTCCCATTACGGTAGTGACAGCTGGAGACGAGCATCTCCGAATTCTCACACCCGGGCCAGGCTCCCTGGCCCTTGCCACCTCTGGGCGCCAAATTTGCTGGGCAGAGCAAAGCCGGGAGTGCGGGGCTCACTGGGCGTCGGGCCACGCTGAGTGTCAGGGCCACGTGTCGGGGTGCACCAGCCCAGGAAGTAAGTGCTCTCTTTGTCAGGCGCTCTAAGAACAGGGCCTCCTGGAAACGCCAAGGGCTGGGGCCTGGGGGGCTGATGCTCAGGAGAAACGACTTGCTATCATTTTCAGGGGGACAAGAATACATGACTGAAGATGTGCAGCCAGGACTCTTGGGAAGGGTGGAAGGAAAGAACGCAGAGAGAAGACAGGATGCTTAGGAAGACAGCTGGAAACGGCGGGACGCGACGGGGATCCGGAGAGCAATGGAAGGGCTGCCCCTCCCTGTTCTGCTTCTGCCGGAAAGACGCGCTGAGGACTCCTTCCGTCCCAACGTCCCACGTCAGAGAGACGGGGCCACATCGCAAAAAAAGCACACACCTTACTCTTTTGCAGAAGAAATCATATAATTTGGGTTTACAGAAATGGGGTGTTTATGTCTGAGGTTGAATTTTTACAAGAACCCCACCTAGATCAAAGGAAAGTGGAGACTCCCATGCGGTACCTGGTGGGTCTGACCCACGGGTTGCTGCGGAAACGCGTCAGGAGGCTGAGCGGCTGTGTTTGCAGAGCCTGAATCCTTCCGACAGGCTGGCTGGTTCTTCTGCAGGCAGCTCCCCCGCTGCCCTGGGGGGTCGCCCCAGCCCGCATGTGGCCGCAGCGCACGCACAGGTGGGGGTCTGGTCTTGCCACGTTGTGCAGATCTGGCGTGGGAGGAATCCCCTTCACTGTGATCCATTGGGTCGAGCTGCCCTCAGGAACCTTCCCATGACGTCTTCAGTGCCAGCCTGGACCACCCGACACCCACAGAGACGATTGTCTTTTGGCCTGGAGCAGCCAGGACACCTCCTGTCACCCCTGGGGACAGCCTGAGATGTCCGCACGTGACACAAAGCCACACCAAGGCGGCCTGCACCACTCCTGTCTGTATTTACGCTCTCTGCTTTTTTTAAGGGCAACTCGGGCGATTGCTTTTTCTCTTCTTGTTGGGACACTATCATTATTTTCTCTTCCAAACAATAAAAGAAATAAATAGAACACTTGTCTTAAATGCAAATGCAACTGAAACGCAGATTTAACAAAAACATATGATTGTCTGGTAAACGGCAGCAGTGACAGCAGGATTCGTGGGGGGGACGGGGGTATTTGGCACATTAAAAATCGCCCCACTCCCACACAACACACAACCTTAGTACACGGTTTTGGTCCTTCACCAGATACTTATATTAACATTATTTCTTCACAATAAGAATGTCTAATGCCAAAAATACTGTTAAGGAGGAAATAAAATAAGAAAAGAAATGAATTAGAAAAAAATTACAAGTTATATACAGATTAAGGTAAATTCCATCAGGGAAAAAAATTATCATTTGAAATTGGCCCCTATGGGAATAATTTAAAGCCCATCTGAGTGGAGAAGTTGGTCCGAGAGGGAGGCGGCCGGGCCCCGGGGCTGTGCTGTCTCTGCTCCTGGCGGCAGGGTCCCCCAACGCCCTTCTGTTCTTGAGCCGAGTCTCACCAAGAACCCGCACGGAGAGCGAGGCGGCGACTGCGTCGTCCATCCGGAGTCTCAGGCACAGGTGCGGCTTGGCGGCCCGGAGTGATCTGCTGGGACTGCGCTCAGGGCAGCCACGGGGAGGACACTGGAGCGGCTGGGGTCGGGTGGGAGGTGGGAGGCCTGGAACGTGGCCAACGCCCTGCCTTCAGAAGACGGCGGTGGGGTCCAGTGCACAGTGGCCGAGTGAGGCAGGGACAGAGGAGCGAAGGAAGGTGGGTGCCTGGCCACACCTCCGCATGGTGGACCCAAGCCAGGGGCCCTTGACTTCCCCATAGAATTGAGGGGTCTTGGGTGGGGCCAGTGGATTCCTCTGAAGCTCACGTGGTGGCTCTGGCACCAATTCCATGTCACATGGTGGCAGGCACGCTTTCCATCCCAGCCTCGGGCAGGCCTGCAGCCCAGGGCACCCTGAGACTTCCTCAGCTGTCTGCATGGTCTACGGGCATGGCCCCACGCCCCTTGTTCTGCCTTGGGGCACCCAGTGTCACCTTGGCTTATACAAATAAGGACAGAGATAGAAAATTTCTCCATTATCTATAGTATAAAGAACACACCCAGGCACAGTGCGGGTTCCCAGGCAGACTCGGGTTTGCAAATGAGCTCAAATTTCAAAGCAATGCAAAATTACTTTTAAAAAACAATTTGCAAGTCATTTTTTGATTTTTAAAAAATACTGTCTATTTTTAAAACCACATGCTTAAATAGACTCTGTAGTCAATACGATTACCAAAAGGGTTATTCTTGTCATTTCATTATAAAAATCACGTGAGTGATCTCTCTCTTTTGAGCACACCCGTCTATCCATTCCCTTCCGAGGCCCCACGCAGGCACCCAGCCGTGGCCGCGGCCGCCAGCTTCTGTCTCAGTGGCGCGTCCACCTGCCCGCTGGCTGGTTCTGCGAGGCAGCTCCATGGGCTGTCCCTGGATGGCCCCCTGCAGGGCCGCCACTCAAGTGTTCTCAAGACCGATTCTGGGAGATGGTGAGACTCTACGACTGCTTTAGGGACTTTCGGGGTCTGAGTTTTCATTGGAAAAGTCAGAATGAAGCATGGCGGGTGGGGAGGACGCTGGAGTGGTCACACGCAGGGACAGGGTTCTCCGGGGCCCGGCCCACCTCCGTCCTCTGCGGCTGGTGCCCTCGTTCTGGCTGCTGGCCCTCAGCCGCCCAGCTCGTCAGAGGTGGTTGATGGGGTGAAATGCTCCAGACTCCGACGTGGCTCCCGTGATGTTCAACCAAGCGTCCAGGGAGCCCTGGGAGGGGGTGTGGAGAGGAGTGTCTTCGGAAAGAGACAGCATCATTGCATACGCCTGGCGGGGAGGGATGACACACACACAGGACCGGCAGGTGAGCACAGGGGCAGGGCGGGCCGTCCCAGACACACAGGTGAGCACGGGGGCAGGATGAGCCGTCCGGGACAGGTGGGGCCTTGCCTCGTCTGTTCCCAGCTTCCCGAGGCCCTGGCCTGACTCGACCTCACCCTCGTCCACAGGTCCCAGAGGGAGCAAAAGACACTAAGAGGCCCAGATTCTGCCCCCAGCCTGGAAGAGGAAGACGTGAGCAGGGGTGACAGCGGGAGGGAGGAGGGCCGCCAGGACTGGGGTGCCAGTGAGGGGCCTCGGGCACACGTGCTTCTTCACTGCTTCGGGGTGCTCCCCCTCGAAGCCTCCTCTCCTTCCCACCCCTCCCCCTGAAGTTTTCACCTGGAGATCAGCAGAAGCTACAGACATATGTCTGGTCTGAGGGGCCATGGGAATTGGGGGTGAACAAGAGCCACCGTGCCCGGGGATGCCTGTTTTGGTGATTGTGGGGACACGAAGAGCTGCCTCTGGGGCAGGGATGGGCAGCGTTTCTGGGCCAGGGCCATTCTTAGGAAGTACAGATGTGTTCCCAGGCATTAGGCAGCGCAGGGGACATCCTTCTGCCCCAGCCGCAGGGCAGGTGGGGACGGGACCTGGGGAGCGTCGTGTGTGGGTTGAGGGCAGGAACTGGGGGAAGCCCAACACTGTCCCACCAGAGTTAACACTCCAGACAGAATTAGTAAAAAGACAAAGACAGACACGCAGACGGCTTTTGCTGAGACCTGGAGGGGGGCCTGTTCCCTCTGGGAGGGCTGCAGAGACCTGAACGAAACCCCGAGTCCCTACAGGCTGGAGAGAAATGGGAGGCAGGGCCCTGGGGACACCTGCCCTAAGGAGAGGAGCCAAGAAGCACCTGGGGTGGAGCCTGGCGCCCTCACTGACCTCACAGCTCCAGCTAGGAAGCAGAGACCACCCAGGAAAGGCCCGGCTGCAGGCCACTGGGGCCCAGATCAGAGAGGGCAGGAGAGGGAGGCGGCTGGGCGGCCGGAAACCTGCTCACGGACCTTTCTCACTGAGGACCACGGGAAGGTGAGCTGCCATGTCCACGAGGGAGCTCCCTCGTGAGGGCCCTGCCAAGGTCATGGGCGCTCAGCCCCTCCCTGCTGCACCCCAGCTTTCGGGGGGCGGTGGTCGCTGGGGCCTCTCTGGTGGATGCAGGGTTGGGCGGTTGGCAGTGACCTGAGCTTCCCCAGGCCTGGGAGGGCCTCGGCGGGAGGTGAGTGCTGGGTGTCCTCTGGCGGAGAGGCCGGGCGGGGTGGGGGCGGGGCCCTGGCGGGTACCTACCTGGTTCTCAGCCTGCCTGCACAGTGTATGTTTTAAAGCCTCAGAATCTAGGGTGGAATTAAGCACATCTTTAACTTCAAATGCTTCCTCAGCTGCTCTGCGGAGGTCCAGCCCCTTCCCAAAAGTCGGCATCGGCTCCAAAGCTAACAGCCCGCCTTCGTGGTCGTCAGTACACCTGCACCAATGACCGGGGAGAGGGGCCTGCTGTTAGCCGCCTGGCCTCGGCCGCCCCTCTGACACTGCCGCATCTCCGCCAGCCACATGCACAGGGAGACAGACACACGGACACACAGACGCCTGGATGGGAAGCCACACGGATGCAGGAGAGTGCACGGACAGAGGGCAGGGGCAGGTGGGGGTGAGTGCGTGCGCGGGCAGCAGGCAGGGCGCTCGGGTCTTTCGGGTGGAGGCTTGAGAAGGGGCCTCAATTCTCTGAGACCCCAGGCACCTCAGGCCCGGGGTCCCCTCTCCTAGGACTCAGGGGCAGCATCCAGACTAGGGAGGAAAGGCCACCTCTGAAGGGCCTCTCCAGGGGAATCCGGGATGCTGGCAGTGTTGCCCATGTTGGTGGCGAGCACTGAGGACGTGCGGAAGTGGCTCTGGCCACCGCAGAATGGTGGGTGCTCGGCCCCTGTGCCCACAGCCTGCTGGGCGCTGCGCGCACTGTCCTAGGCTGGCAGGCAGCTGTGTTGCAGGACTGGGGCTCCGTGTCAGCTCAGTGTGGGGAAATGCCTTCCCTCTGCACTCTGCTTCCAGCCTCCAGGGCCCCTGGGGTGGGTGGGGGCTGAGGGCCCCTGATCCTCTTGCCCCGGCCCAGCCTTGCCCTGGCCTGTGTGCGGAGGCCCACAGGTGGCTGTGCTGGGGCAGCGGCTGAGCCCAGGATGGGCTCACAAGTGACTGAAGCAGGGAGGTCCCACCCGTGATGGACGTCCATGTTCCCCTGTCCTGGAGCACACGGCTGCCCCCACCTTCGGGTGTGGTCGAAGCCCACGGCCAGGGAGGCGGGTGGCTCCTCGTCCTCTTCATCCTCGTAGGTGGCCTGGGGCTCAGGTGCGGGGGACACGGTGTCATCCTGCGACTTCCCAGCCAGGCTGTCCTCATCGTCCTCCTCCAGCTCGTCCTCCTCCTCCTCCTCCACGTCCTCCTGCCTCTCACTGGCTAAGCCTGGACACTGGGCACTGCCGTCCACATCCTGGATCTCCGGCCTGAAATGACACAGGAGGAGATGGGCCGAGTTCAGGGGTCTCCCTCCTTGCCATGGACCCCCCAAAGGCTGGTGACTCAGCTCTGCCCCCACTGCCTCCCCCCAAGACCCTGAGCCCCCTTCCTGAGGGAGCTCCCACCGGTCCCTGGGCCCAGCTACTGACTGCAGAGTGACACTCACAGAGAGCTTGGGGCTGTCCCAGGAGAGGAGGACCAGCACTCCAGGTGGTGGGAGGGGGGCAAGGCCCAGCAGTAGGGGCTGCTATGCCCAGGAGGACACCAGGACCAGGGTGGGATACGGGAGGAGGCAGTGAACAGCCCTGTGGGGAGCTGGCCCTGCACTGGCCAAGCATGTGTGTTACATCTCCGTGTATGCACATGACTGTATATGCACACATGTACATATGCACACACCATGTGTGTACTCATATGTGTGCATATGCATGTGTGTAGATCTGTGCAGACGTGTTTATGTGTGCACATGTTATATACACGTGTGTGCATGTGTGCACATGCATGCCTGTATTTGTGCACCTGCACCCAACTGCACATGTACACGCATGTATACACTGCATGAGGGGCACCCTCAGGGCAGGCTAGGGGGAAGGATTTGAGGCTGACAACTTGAGGAGGTGGGCACCCACCCGAGAGCTGGGGGCCCCAGAGGGATATCTGGGATCTGGAGAGGGAGGGCCCAAAGCCTGCTGTCAGCAGTCTGCATGCGCCAGGACTGCGGGGGGCTCTCCTGCTGCCCAGAGCCCTCCTCACTTCCCTCAGGGTCGCTGCAGCCCAGCACGACCCTTCCACCCTGGTTCCTCAGTACTAAAAAAAAACCTAAAGTGTGCGTGGGCATGGCTGAGCGTTCTCATTTCTTTTAGGAAGAGCCATTAGAGTTTGGCTCATCTTCAAGTTCAGGACCAAGAGCTGTGTCCTGGGTGGGCTGGGCCCCAGGAGAGCCGCAGGTCCCTGGGCAGGTGCTGGGCACGCTGGTAGAGGGGCCCAAGTGAAGGGAGGACACGGTTCCTCGACTGCCCACGCCCAGGGCACCAGGGCCACTCCTTGTCCTCACTCCTTGAGGGGGCACTGCCCCCCACCCTGGGAGGTGCCCACGGTCTGGGGGAGAGGCAGGGGTCCTGCTCTTGGCATCAAAGCAAGAAAGTGACAGTGTCTCCGAGCGATCAGCCTCCGCGTCTGGGACTCGCGTGCGTGCACAGAACTGGGCTTGGGAGGCCCTCACTTCCTGGCTCTCCACGGACGCCGTCTCCATCTCTCGTCTTTCTGCCTTCCGGGATGGATGGAACCTCAGCAGGTTTCAGGCCTTGAGGACGTTTCCTTGGTCCTGGTCACCGGTGTTGGGGCCGGGAGCGTCCTGTACACACGCCCATCTCCTCAGCCCTGGGGCCTCTGGGATCCGGGCCCTGCTTCTCACCCTGGCTGCTGGTGAGGTGCCCTTGGGTGAGGTTCCGTCTTTGGGGCCTGTGCCCCCTCGATGACCCGAGGACCTGCCCCTCACTGTCCACGCTCAGGACGGGATGAGATGGCGGAGGAGTGAGAGTCCGGGCTCCTCGCGTGTACCGTGAGAGCTCACCTCGTGGCCCACGTGGGTCTGCGTGGACCATCTGCCAGCTGGGCAGGGGCTCTCTAGTGCTGCGGAGGGGAGTGTCTGGCATGGACTCAGAACGGCCCAGCGACGGATTCAGCTCACAGGGAGGACAGGCCGTTTCCCAGAGCTGCCCGAACTGCGCCCCACAGACCGGAGCCTGAAGCGGCGACCACGGAGTCTTCACAGCTCTGAGGCCACAAGTCCCAGATCCAGGCGAGGGTAGGGCGGGCTCCTTCTGAGGCTCTGCGGGAGAATCTGTCCCTGGCCTGTCTCCAGCTCCCGAGGCCGCTGGCCCTCCGTGGCCTCTTAGGCAGCCCTTGGCTGGGAGACGCATCGCCCTGACCTCCGCCCTGTCTTCCCGCGGCCTTCTCCTCCGCCTGCGTTTTTCTCCAGTTCCCCGTTTCTTCAAGGCTGTTGGTGCCGCTGGATTTGGCCCCTCTACCCAGCGTGGCTTCAGTTTAAACCCCTCCTTAACCACCTTATCTCTGACGAGAGTCCTGTTCTGAGGCACTGGGGGCAGGACTTCCACGCGGGAATGTTGGGGGCCAGAATTTAACTCAGGGGTTCATGGGGCTGCAGGGCCTGGGGGCCGGTAGGCCTGTATTCTCACTGGCGGGGCCCCGTTCTGCAGGAGGCCCAGGGAACGGGGGCCGGGGCTGTGGGTTCTGCAGGAAGCCTGGGGAACATGCTGGCCACCCCAGGGACTGGCTGCCTCCGTCCATCCTGCCCTGTTTTCACTTTCAACAGTGACGTGGGGGCTCTCAGGACGAGGCCAGCTGGACCTGCGGACCTTGCCTCAGCAGGACTTCTGAGGACCTAGGTGAGGCCGGCTCTGCCTGTATGTTCTGAGCTGTGGAGAGCCTCCCTTGTTCCCACCCCCAGGGCTGTAAGGAGCTGGCACTGTGGGCCTTGGCAAAGGCGAGGGGGTGCCCGGCCATGCCTCTTCATCCTGGAGACAGCTGTCTGTCCTGGTGGGCCTCCTGCAGTGCGGCCAGGCTGCCAGCCTAGCTTGGGGCATGGGGGCCTGGCTGTCCTCCAGGTCCTGGGCCCACCCCGGCAAGGATGCCATGGAGGGATCCTCACTTGTTCCTCGCCTGGCCTTGCACTGGGAGCTGCAGTTAAGGAATCGTCTTTCACAGCAGGACGAGCCTGGGGACAGGGCTGTGGGGCGTAGGTAAGGCCTGGCCCAGGGCACTCATTGGTGTGACATGCAGCTGCAGGAACATGAACGGGTCCCACGCAGCTGTCTCGGTGTGGCCCCAACTCAGGTCCCTTCAGGTCACTGTTCCTGGAGCTTTGCAGGGGATGCCGGGACAGCCTGGGGGCTGCCAAGCAGCTGGGGTTGCACTGGGGTGGAGTGAGGCTTGGGGGACCATGGCCCAGAGCCAGCTTCTTTGCCTGCCCCCTCCTCTGAGCCCACAAGGGCTTTGGTGGATGAAGACACTGAGGGGCCTGTGGGTGAGCTCGCCTTCCTAGGAGGGCACGGATTTGGGTGTGGCTCTGTCAGAGCCAGTGCCCAACAGCCTCCTGTGTTCGTTGTTTGGACCCATCTTTCCCAGGTACCCCCACTCTCCTAGAAGCAATGTCAGGAAGACACAGCCTGCCCTGGAGGAGTGGGTGGGCTCCCAGGGGGCCCTCCTTCATCTGCAGAAGTGGTGGGGCATGAGAGGGGCCCTGTGGGTACGGAGCCTGAGACCACTGTGGCCAGTGCGGTAAGAGCGGGGCTCCAGCTGCAGGTTCTGGGCCTCAGCAAGGCACCCATTTCTGCGGACCTCGTTTTCCCCTCTGTAGAATCAGGATCAGGCCTCTTGGAGTTTGGAACAGCTTCAGTTCTCTGCCAGCTGGCCTGGCGTTAGCTTTGACACAGGAAGCAGCTCTGCTGGGGTGTCTAAAGGCTCCTCCAGAGTAAGTGAGGCCCACGGAGCCCCGGTGTGCCAGGTTGCAGAGAACACGCTCCAACATTCCTGAATCTGAATTCTGCCACTGTTCTGCTGCTCTGTCTACATGTGCACCCATGCACCTGTGTACACGGGCAGCCACATGTGTGTGCACACGACTGAACACGCACGACGTACACATGCACACGGTACATGTATGTACTTGCATGTGTGCACATGCATGTGTGTAGATCTATGCACAGTCACATTTGCATTCACATATTATGTATGCTGTGTGTGCATGTGTTCATGTGCGTGCCTGTATTTGTGCACCCGCACATGTATACATGCATGCACCTGTGTGCATCTGTGCATGTGTATATGTACATGTACACGGATGCATACATATGTGTGGCTGTAGGTGCATGCATGTGTACACATATGTATGTGTGTACGTGAGTATATTTAAAGGTGCAGCGTTTTGGTTTGGAAACCTTTAGTGCCTCAGATTAAATCAAAATGTCCTTGAGTTTCAGAGGTACGGCTGAACTTGTGGGCAGCTTGGTCGCCTGGCTGGCATTTTGCACACACATGTTAACAGTGAGGTCAGCAGCTAGGGATGCATATGCTCCTACTCTCCGGGGGAGGGACTGAGGCGAACGGCACAGCTTCCCCAGCTTCCCAGGGCCCAGGCTCACCCTCTGCTCTGAGGCCGCCACCGTGCCTAACCGGATGAGCCGGGGTGGTGCTGGGCGAGGTGCGCGCCCTCTGAGTGTGGCCACGCAGGGCTGCTGGCTGGGCCCAGACCTTCCCCAGCCTGAGCTAGTTTTCTTACCGCTTCTCTGTTCGCGTTGATGCTTGGTTCATCTCACTGTTGGCAATGAAGTTTCTGATTTCCGAGAAATAAGAGTCTTCTTTCTCGTCTAAAAGTGCGTGGTTGTCCGACTCTGAGGTGGGAGAGGAGGCACTGGTCCCCCGATGGTTCGTGAGGATCCCGGGGTGCTGGCTCACTGCGGAGGGGCGGGAGCGTCAGGAGTGGCCTCTCACTGAACCCCCCCATCCCTGGAGCAAACCAGTTGTGAGCAGTGTGCACCTGGGTGCCCCTAGGGAGGCAGGTTTCTCAGGGACCCGAAGAGTGCCAGGTTCTCTTTCGTGACCATGGTTTGAGGGGTGCCTACTGGCTTCCTGAGGTGTAGGCTGTGGCCCTCCACCCTGCCTGGAGCCCCCACCCTGCTCTTCCCCTCCCCCTCTGTGGGGCCTGCCACCTGGGTGCTCTGGGCCCCTCCCCGCCGCGGGCCCACCTGGGGCATTCTCGTGCTCGTGCTTCTTGAGGTGCCGGTCCAGGTTGGTCTGCTGCCCGAAGCAGCGATTGCACAGGTGGCACTTGAAGGGCTTCTCCTTGTTGTGGATGTTGCGGACGTGCCGCTGGAGGTTGGAGGAGATGCTGAAGGAGCGGTCGCAGTACTTACACCTGCAAGGCACACGCGTCCCTCAGCTCAGGCCAGGCCACAGAGCGTGGTGGGAAGGGAGCCCACGCCTCTGCCGTGTGCCCCGTCCGCCTCTGCCCTGCGCCCCGTCCGCCACATTGGCCCGCCATATCCCAGAGGCCGCTGGTTCTGGAGCTGGAGAGCCAAAGGCGTCCTGGGGAAGCTATCCCTAGAAACAGCCCCAGCTTCGAGAAGCAGGGGTTCACCCTCCTACTGTTATGTGAGTGGCAGATCCTGTCGGAGTGCGCCCCGTGTCCCCTGGGCATGTGGTGCCCCTGACCCTCCAGCGTTCCCTGCCCTCTGCTGTCTGGGTCTCCCTGGCCCCCAGGCCCGTGGGCAGAGGGTGACGTGCTCCTGGCGGCCTCCAGAGGGCGGCCTTGCTCCATGGAAAGAAATGGGCAGGGCCCGTTTCCCAGGTGGAGGGGCCGAGACCCGCTCCCTGAGACCCTCCTCCGCCCCTCGAGGTGGCTGGGGACCCCGGGCAGGCCTCAGCTCAACTGGGGCCTCAGTTTGCCAATCCATCAATGGAGGGCTGGGGGCTGCCTCCCCTGCTAAGGACACAAAGACCCACACTGACCCCTTCAGGCACTGCCAGCCCCTGGGCTGGGTTCATCTTTATTCCCCCTGGGGTGGGCAGGGCTGCTGCCAGCCAGCACCGTGCATGTGGGAGAGCTGGGAGGAGACTCCCCTTCCTCCCGATGCCTCCTCGGCCTCCAGCAGAGCGTGACTCTAACACCCCCAGCTTATCAGACAAGGCCCCTGCCTTCGGGAAGCTGTCATGATGAGCGACAGAAGAGGGCTGCACGTGTCGGCCCCTCAGTGGGGGGCCCTTGCACTGGGAGTGACCATCACAGCCCCCACACGTGTGACCTGCAGGCAGGGAGAGGGAGGTGGTTCGCCCTCATTTCAGAGAGCGGAGCTGAGAGCTGGGGCTGAGCAACACGTGCACTGAATGGCAGGAAAATCACGCCTGAAGCGAAGAGGGGGAGCCGGGGGCGGGCTGCGGAGGAACCCCACGGGCTCCGCAGAAGCGCGTGCGCTGCCTCCATGAAGACGTGGGTTCTCCCTGGGGGGCCGGGGCTGGCTTACTGAGAGGCACCCAGCTGGGCGAGGGTGGAGGGAACCCTGACTGCAGGCTCTCCAGTTGCACATGTGTGCTTGGCGTGCACGTGTGCCATGCCGGCATGTACACCATTGTGTGTGCTCGTGGTCATCAGAACTCCTGCAGAATGCTTGTCTGATCCCAGAGGCACACACACACTTTCACATTCCAAGGGTAGCCTAGGAATCTGAGAGCCTGTGACTCCCCCAACTCATCCCGTTCCCCAAGCTGCCTGGTAAAACCTAGGCGTCCCCTAGAGAGGGGGAGGCAGTCCCGGTAGAAAGGCCCTCCCTCCCAGTCCTGGCCACAAAGTTTCCACATCCCACCCACTTTGTCCTGAGAACCTCCACGGTGCTGCTGCAAGGCTTCATTCACTCAGTTCTGAACCTTCCTCCCTTTGCTGGCGGCCAGGCTCACTGACACCCTCCAGGTAGGCAGGCAAAGAACCATTTGCAATGGGAGTCCCTGAGCTCCCCCTACGCGACCCTCAGCCTCCTCTGCTCCTGAACCCTGGGGCCTGGTCCGTGGGCTTCTCCAGGAGCCCCTGCTCCTCCCCGGGTCAGCTGAGCTGCCTCTGGGCACCCAGGTCCCAGCCTGTCCGCCTGCAGCCCAGCGACGGGCAGTGCCCTGGCTGTCCACAAAACCTGCCCTGGGCGACGCTGCGGTTTTGTTTCACTCGGCCGGTGAAATCACAGAGGAGTAATGCCCAGGATGGAGCCCTTTCAGCTGCTGGGGTGGAGCTGCCCGGGTGCCCCCTACCCAACCAGTCCCACACAATCACCCGGAAAGGAGGGATTTTACACCCCTAAAAGCATCATCTCATGTCCCCATCCTGATACAGCCTAAGACTGGAACGGTGGTGCCCGGCCCGGGACTGTCCTGCTTTTGAGTCTGACTGCTGAGAAAGGACTCCCTGGACCCTGCATCTCCAGCCCGGATGCAAGGCACCTGCCGGTCTGAGCTTTCAGCTTCTGCCCAGCCAGAGGCTTCCCACCCAGTGGGGCCATGTGCCTCTCTGGCACGTGGGTGCAGCCAGTCTGCCTGCCTGCCTGCTTGTCTGTCTGTCTGTTTGTCTGTCCATCTGCCTGTCTGCCTGCCTGTCTGTCCATCTGCCTGTATGTCCGCTTGTCTGTATGCCTGCCTGCCTGTCCGTCTGTCTGTCCATCTGCCTGTCTGTCTGCCCACATGTCTCTCTGCCTGCCTGCCTGTCCATCTGTCTGTCTGCCTGCCTGTCTGTCCATCTGCCTATCTGTCTGTCCATCTGCCTGTCTGTCTGCCTGCCTGTCTGTCCATCTGCCTGTCTGTTTGCCTGTCTGTCTGTCCATCTGCCTGTCTGCCTGCCTGCCTGTCTGCATGTGTGCTCACACAGTTCCTGGTTCCTTTGGAAATGCAGGGACCCATGCAGAAACTCCACCTAATGGCTCCTGCGTAAACCCTAGCAATGGGGATCTGGGGTAAGAAATGGGATCGGAAAAGAAGCTTGTTCACGAACCTGGAGAGCAGGTCCCTTGTGTGAAGCTCTGGGGCTGGGGAGGGCCACGGAGGAGGCTGTGCATTGAATTTGGTTGCAGAGAGCCCTGAATGTGGCCCTCTCCTACTTCTAATCTAAATAAATGGCCCAGACAGAGAAGTCCATTTGAAATTTAGAGGAGCTGTGAGCCTAGGGCTGCGAGGGAGCAGAGTTCTCTGAGCAGCTGGGGTCTGCGTTGTAAATAAGCTGACAGGCGGCTGGTGAAATTGATGGCCTCACTGTGTAAAATAACAAGCCCATGAGCTCCAAAAGGAAGGAGAGCCTGCAGGGCAGCCAGGCCCCGTGTGCTGCGGGGCCTTGAGAGGACCTTGCTGTGACCATGCCTGCTGTGCTCCCAGGGAAGCCAGCGGGGGGGAGACAACAGAGCATGGGCAGGTCGGGAGGAGGTGGCCAGGGCCCCCGAGCCCAGAGCCCTGGGCGGCAGCTCCTTCCTGGGATCGAGTGGGGCCTCCTGCAGCCACCACAGGGGTCACTGCTTTTGGTGACTGTAATAAAAGTGAGGGAAGAGGAAGAAGGAAGAGATTTTGAAACCCAGCCGTAAAAATAAAATGAAAAAAGAATGGGCAGGCATGGGCCGCCTGCAGCGCCTGATGGAGACACAAGTTTGCCTCCCCTGCGTGCTCCAGCTTCACACGGACGGATGGCAGGACGGAGGCTGCGGGGAGGAAGAAGCCCACAGCAGACCAGGAAGCCAGAGGCTCTGAGGTGGGAATCTCGGGCCCAGGAGCCCCGGGCAGCCTGAGCAGGCTCGCGTCCAGGGAGTGACTCCAGGTTCCACCACGCAGTGTCCCAGAGAGACCCCGTGCCGGCTGACCGGGGAGCAGGGCCCCTATTCCCAGCTCAGTCTTTATGCTTCTCCAGCCCCAATCCCACAAAGCCTACATGCTTTTTATTTTTAAGAAATAAGAGTGACATTAACTGCGTCTCATCTTCCATCTTCACTCAAGCATCTGTAGGCCAGCGGAAGCCAGCGGCCAAGCGACCTCCAGGAAACGGATTCGGTGCACCAAAGGGTCTGCTTCCCCTCCCTCGGGCTGTGAAACACATTCTGAATGACTGCAGATCTTTGGAGGCAGGGACTTCAGCGGAAGAGCCTTCCAGTGTCATCTGGTTTGATTACCCGGCCACTCCAGGCAACCCGTGAGAAGACCGCTTCCCCCTGCTTGCGCGCGGGCTGCGTCAGCCTGACCACTCCGGGCACACACATACGCACATGCGGCGGGCACACGTGTGGGTGCTGGCACCGGGGAGGGGCTCACACTGGGGCAGGCCTGGGGGGCTCCAGCTCCTCTTGGCGGGCTTCTGGGGATGGCCGGCACTTTCCCTCCGCTAACTTAAAATCCTCCTGATTATCAAAGCGAGTCCAGAAACCACCAGTGTCAGAACGAAAACGGCATGCTCCAAACCCCTCGGCACAGACCTGCCTTGAGCCAGATAAAGTCAGGATTTGCAACACAAACTTGCAAAGCAATTATTGTTACCAAAGTCGAAACTCGCAGATTGGAGAGAGCAAAAGAAATCAATGATAATTAAATTCTTCTATAAACACCACCCCGACCCTCTGGGGGCTCTCAGCACACAATGCTGTCCAGAAGTCGGCTCTCATTACAGAAAAAACACACAGCTCGCTTTCTGGGAGGGACCAGACCAAATAAATCTTTGTGTTGCTGGCCTTTGTTAAGTTGTAAGTCGCTATTTTTTGAAGGGTGGGCAAGGAGCGGGGTGGGGGGGGTCTGTGAGCTGGGGAGGGCTGCAGGCACTGAACAGACAACCCATAGGTGGCATGAGCTGCCATTGACCCTGCGGGTGGGGACATGGCCCTGTGGCAGCGGGGGAGGCTTGGTCTGTCTCAGAGTGGGCCTCGGTGAGCACGGCATGTGCAGGTGCCCAGCTGGCCTCCTTCCCCAGGGACGGAGACACAAACTGAGCCCCCAGTGCCTGCACTAGCATGTGGTCCCTTCCTGGTGACCTCTAGCTCTGTGTGGTCAGAGTTGAGAAATCTTACGTGTGTGAAACACTCTTTGTCCGCAATGGCCTCTGTGAACAGACACAGCCTGCCTGTGTCACTAAGCCAGCATTTCACCATTCACCTCCCGGTTACCACTGTCTGGGGTTCTCACTTAACATGCTCACTCCCAGGCCCTGACCCCGGTGAGTCACAGGGCGTCTCTGAGCCTCGGACACCTCATCTTTGAAATGGAATGACAGGCTTCTTTGGGAGGCTGTTGTGAGCCCCAAATTCAATGCCTCCCCCATCCTGATGAGCTGGGTGACTGCTCTCTGCAGGTGCAGCTGGCTGCTCAGGTGAGAGGAGCATGGTGGGATCCTGGAAACGGACACACCGCTTGCCATCCAGGGCTGTCCCAGGGACCCCAGCGGAATCCCTCAGTGGGCTCCAAGCTGGGGGCGGGGACCCACATTTGTACGGAGACCCACCCTGCCTTTGGCCCATTCCCTGGCCCCCCAGGAGTGGGGCTGTGGGGGAAGCTACAGCCGTTGTGAGAAGAACAGAGTTGGGCTGGGTGTGGGGAAGCTGAGGTTTTCTCCCACGTGGACCCTCCAGGCCTTAGCTCTGGTCAGCCCTGCTCTGATGAGGATCCCCTGCCCCAGTGGACACCCCAGGTTGGGTGGAGAGCTGCTCCCTCGAATCTTCGAGAGCCAGGCAGGTGCCTTCCAGCAGGTTCCTGGGCACCTCCTGCCTCATCCTCACAACATCCTGATGAGGTCGAGACAGGAGGGACAGAGTGACCAGAACTGAGCACCGAGCCCCGCCCACTGCATGCTCACTCCAGCAGGGAGCCTGGGAAGGGCACATTTACTCCTAGGAGTGGGTCAGCCGTGCGCACACGGAGGCAGGCGGCCCTGCTCCCCACACCCGGCCCAGGCAGCTCCTACCTGTACGGCTGCTCCCCGGTGTGCGTCCTCAGGTGTCTGGTGAGATTGGCTGATCTGGGGAAGATCTTCCCACAGTACCTGGGGTGGAGGGAGGTGGGGAGGGCGAGGGAGTGTTAGGGCAGGCTCACATGGCCATTTCCTAGAAACGGTTTCACGCTAATGCTCGAGGTCTCACACCTGATGGCCATGTGACAGGTGGCCCCCACCCCAGCATCCTGGTTTCAGTCCCTTCTGCTGCCCTGAAGCCTAGCCCCAGTTATAGAGCAGCCTGCTGTCGGCCACCGGAGCAGGACCAGCCCCTGTCCCCTGAAGCATCTCGGCCCCTCGGTCCAGCGGCAGACAGGGAGGGCTCTGGCTGACTGGGACAGGCCTGCACAGCACAAGGCGGCCGGGAAGGTATCATCCCGACATTGGAGAAATCAGCTCAGCCTGTTGCGCTGGGTTTCCCATCCCCCCAAGCACTGAGGTTCGTCGCTGACCAGCACCCCTCAGCCTCGGCCTTCCCGTGTCAGGCTGGGCCAAGGTTGCATTTTCTTGAGCTCACATGAGCACGGCATGGTGGGAGGCAGGGGAGGCCACCATGTCACTTATTTGCGAAGTATGACTTCAAGTAGGTGACTGACTGATTACAGGCGCTGTGCTTCCCTGTGGCTGGGACCCTGAGTTTTCCTGGGAGCACAGGTTCATGGCCACATGTGCCACACTCAGGCCCCCCCGGGGCTGTCCCAGCTGCACCCCGGGACCCCTCACCTGCACGTGTATCGCTCCTTGCCCTTCCTGAGGATGGGGTCGGAGAGCGTTGGGGGTGGGGACCGGAAGTTGAAGGGGTGGTGGGGGAGGGGCTGCAGGGAGCTGCCGGAGTCGGCCTTCATGGCTGCAAAGCTCTCCAGCTTCTCTGTCATGGTCTCTATGGCTGACATCTGTGGGCATAAGAGCGAGAGGTTATGGACTCAGCTGGGCTCTCACCTGTCCTGAGTGGCTGCACTGCTGGGGGTTCTGTAGGACAGCACATCCTGGGGTGCTCAGGTGGGCAGTGGAAGCAGTGTCTCCTAGAGGCTCCTTGGACCCTGGGTTAGATCCTTTCACCTTTCTGCAGCCAGCCCTGCTCTCGTCCTTCCCTGGGTCCCCCGTTTACAGTTTAGGGTCTCGCCTGCAGGAGCAGCCTCCCTGCCTGGCCTGGGTGTGACCGGAGTGACACAGACAGCTGATGCTTCTGATGACCTAACCCCTTATTTGACCCAGGCCAGCAAAACGCCCAGCTGACTTGACCCCTGGCCATGACTTCTGGTTGGCTAGTTTGGGTTAAATGCAGAATTACATCTAGTTTAACATTAAAAATTGTATTTTTTTAGCCTTGAAAAATTAAAATAACAACCTGAATCTCAGCTTAAAGTATAGCTCATGGGCCTGCAGAGCCACCGCCACCAAGTGGCAGCATGCCATAATTGCAGGCAAAGTACCAAAGAGGAATTCAACAGCCGCTTTAAGACTTAATCCCACAAAGGAAATATTCAAAATAATAACGCCACATGTCACACGACACAGGATGATTTGATATAGGCACTAGCAGCTGCCTCTCTGCTCCCTGGAGATGCCCAGGGCTGGCTCGATTAGGAAGGTAGAAGCATGGGATTAGTCATTTCCACCCAGTGGGCAGAGCTCTGATCAGAATTCCAGACTGTGCTGGCCCCACTGAGATCTCCTGCCCTAGTGACAGGAGAGGGGAGGGGCCAGGCTGATGGAGCTGCTGAGTGTCAGCCCCACCTCTCCCACTCCCTTTGCCTTTGAAGACCCAGAGCAGCACCCAGTGGGGAAGGAAACGGCCACCCTGTGATACCTGCTGTGTGCCAGGCCCTATGGGGGGCTGGGCGGGGGCTGAAAAGGAAGAGCCTTCCTCATCCCCTGAGGGGTAGCAAAAGGCAGCAGAAGGAACAAACACCACACACCCACTGCTGAACGGGGGAACCAGCATCCCCAGGGCCCAAGGCCTGACCCACAGGGCCCTCCAGACACCTTTCCTAAACAGGTATATGTGCAACCTGCCTCCCCTGTGGTGAGGGAGGGGAAGCGCTGGGCAGGAGCTTATGGAGATGGAAGGGAGAGTTTGTGGTCTCCATGTACGGGGGTTACTGGGAGAAACTGGTCAGGGTGTGGGTCCTTGGCACCCAGCGGCCACGAAATGGGTGTGGGGATGAGAGGCAGGGCAGATGGGGACCCGCCTCATCCAGGGCCCTCGTTTGGGGCTCGCTGCCTCAGAGTGATGCTCAGAGCCAGCTTCACAGGGGTAACCTGCCTCGTTACAGCAAGACGCTGGCCCTGGCTGCCCACTGGCAAACAAAACTATCCCGCCACATGGCTGGGGTCTCTCAGCATCCGAGAGCCTGGCACCCAGCACTCAGCTTTTTAGAGACTCGCTTGCCTGGGATTGCCCAGCTGCTACTGGCAGGGAGTAGAGGGCTTTCTGCAAATGCTACCCAGAGACCGCAGGCCCCTGGGGTGGGGACATTTTGCTATTTGGGGAACAACTGACTGATTACAATAAAAATACCCAGAAAGTAATTAATGAGTAGAAACTCGTGTTCATCTGCAAGAGGCCGAGGACTCCCCTCCGGCCCCTTCCAGCCCCACCCAGGCTGCGGGGGTCAGGACTGTTCTCGTCCTGGTGAGAACCAGTAATGGGCAGATGGAAGCTGCCTTGCTCCCTGAGCCATCAGCTGGGCCTCCGCAACCTGGAGCAGCCTGGACAGCAGGGGCTGCGGCCTTCGCACGGCCACGGCTCTGGGCTTCACCGAGGCCATTAGGAATTGGTGCCTTCCGCCCGAGTGATGGCCCAACCTTAGACCATTTGGTGACTTATCAGTCGTCTCTCTCTTCCCGCCCCCATCTCCTGGTTCCGGACCGCAGGGACAGGCAGCGGGGGTGGCCGGCCCGTGGGGGTAGCGGGCAGGAGGGACAATGGCAGCCACCCCCCACCAGGCTCCCTTCCTCGGGCCTGGGTGGGCCTCTCCCGCCCAGCTCGGCCCGATCAGATATTCCAAGCCTCGCTCCCCGGGCAAACACAAACACAGGATGCGCCTGGCTGGCCTGTGGCTCTTTCCAGCCCATCCCGAGGAAAATCGGGGGAAGTTATTAACCAAACTCCATGGCCCCGTGGAAACAATGGGAGGCGCTAAGTTTAGCTGTGAACTCAGGCTGGGTGCAGGTTTCACAAACTGGCGGGGGCCCGTCCATGGCGGGAACGCCGAGAGAGAACAATGCCCCGGCCTGGTCTGCAGTCTCAGGCAGGGCCAGGCCCACCGTGCCACCCCAGGACCCTCCCCAGGTGCAGCCCCCAGTGCTGCGGAAGGAGCCAGGCTCCCAGCAATGAGACCAAGTCAGTAGGGGCAGGAGATCGGGAGCTCTGCCTTGGTCGTGCTGCCTGCCCACTACTTTGCTCCCAGGATGTGGCCTCAGGGGCTGGCAGGAGCCTGGCAGGGTCTGCACCCACCTAACCAGACTTTGGGGCTCTCTGGGTCTCTTTCCTGACCCCCTGCCCACCACCCCCCTGGGGCCTGGCTCTGTGCCCCCCTCTGCACGCTCAGGCCCTTCCTCTCCTCCCTTTGAACATACTCAGGTCTTGGGCACCCGAGAGAGCGCTCCCACGCTGTGCCCTGCGCTGCCGCCCGAGGCTGCTCCCCTCATTCACAATCACTGCACTTGCTCCTTCAGGCCCTGCCCACGGTGCCACTGAAGCTCCTTCTCCTTCCTGGAGCCCAGAGCCAGGGGTCAGAGAGGTCCCTGGGGCTGCCCTGTGAGGACCGCTCTCCGTCCTCAACCTCTCCAGCCGACAGTGCCCTGAGGGACCACAGGGAGAGAATCCTTCCCTGCTTTTGAGGGCCTCTGTGCATGCGGCAGCCTGGACGGGAACTCCCACTCCAGCCTGGCCACTGAGCCTGGGCCACCGGGCGGTGGGGCCACTGGTGTGCGGGTCGTCACCGGGTGCCCTGGCCTGCGCTGGGGTCGTACCTGGGGATGGAAGAGCAGCGGGGATGGCCGCAGGTACTTCTCCTTCAGGGCTCCCACGGGGTCTGTGACCTTCCGCTTTTCTACCCTGCTGGACAACAGCACAGAGGGTTACGTACCACACCGACCGAGCTGCCCGCCCCGCCGAGCTGCCCGCCCCGCCTGTCCGTATGCCTGGCCAGTCACAAGGCCACAGTGTGGACTGCGCTGGGGCTGCCCCAACTCCCACCAGACTCCTCTGTGGGCCTTGGGGATGTGGGGGCCCAGCCTACCGGCCCCCTAAACAGACCCTCCCTTCACCGCCTGCCCCTGAACATGCTCCCTTGGTGGTTCCCGTTCACCTCCCATCACCTCCACGTTCCCCCCAAGTGCCTTCGAAGACCCTCGGCTGCCAGCAGCCATGCAGGTCACGAGGGCGAACACAGGAGCCTGGAGTCTGCTGAGGGTCCCGTGCACCTGGCCTCCTGCCAACTGGCTGGTCAGCCCTGCCTGAGTGGGGGCCGCTCTCATGGGGGTCCCTGGACCTGCTCACAGCAGAGCTCGAGGCCCCTCCCCTGACCTGGCCCTTGGCACGGGGCATGCTGCCTGAGTGTGCTGATGAACGTGAGTGGCTGACAGGTATCTGTCCTGGGGAGGTCACCAGGGGCCCCGGCGGCACCTGGACAGGGCCCTAACCCTCCGGGGCTGCTGGAGATTATAGTTCCAGAACCTTCCCCAGATGCCAGTGACAAGCCTGCTCCCTGCATCACAGTGCAAACCTCTGGTGGTAAACAGAGGCGGCGGGCAGGGCCATCGCGGACCCTCCTTTGGCTTGGCGGTTCCCGAAGGAGGCCAGCTCTTCTCCGTCTGCCTGGGTCCCACAGCGAGGGCTGGACTTGGGAGCCTCTTTGCTGTCACTGAGACCGTTTTGATAAACCTACTGCCCCCTCCAAGACACAGCCCCCCCCAGCATCTCTAGGACTGGCCGCTTTTGCTTTATTCGGTCGGGAGTTCCTCAGGGTGGCCTTCCCATCTCCTTGCACGGCGAAGCGGGCAGCACAGAGACATGTGTGGGTGGGGGCAGGACCCTCCCCAAGCCTGGGCCTGCTCTCCCAACCCACCTGTATTCTAGGGAGGGGCGAACCTGTCCAGAAATCAGGGAGTGGCATTAAGCTCACCTTTCCCCAAGAGGGGCATCAAAGACACTGTGCACTGGTGCCGAGAAAACCATCCAATGCCTGCTCCCTATGCCCCTCCTTCTCCCCTCCAAGGACCACTGGCTCCTTCTCTGATTCCCCCTGGGACCCCAGAAAGACACCCCTCTCCCCTCTCCCCACTCCCCTGATGCTCTGGCTCCAGTGGCAGGAGCACTCAGGACAGGCAGGCAGCACTCAGCCCAGGCCCCTCTGACTTCTGCAGGTGGAGGCTCAGGGGAGCTGGACCAGTGAGACAGCTGGAGAGAGGGGTGCAGGGGAGGGCCAAGGAGGGGTTGGAGTTGGGGTGGGAGGGGTTACTAGGGGTAGGAAGGCCTTAAGGCCAGCAGTGGGACATCTGAGTGGTCATCAGTGCAAGAAAACCGCATGTGTCCGGGAGCACCTGTCCTGGCCTACCAAACATGGCCCGGGCCGGGCACTTGGCTTAGGAGCAGCCAAGCCAGGCATCCCTCCTGAGGGGTGCAGATCCCCCCAAAAATGGGGGCATCTTCCTGAAGTCAGCAAAGGCCGGGGGAGAACATTGAAAGAGACACCACCATGCCCTGAGTCCGCCCTGCACTGCCCACCCCAGGGAGAATGGGTGAGGCCGGGGCGCAGAATACCTGTAGATGGGGTCCATGAAGAAGGGCGAGGGCTTGGCATAGTGGAGCGGGGGCTGCTGGGGCATCCGCGCCGGGCACACCTGGGGCAGCCCCTCACCGGCGCCCAGCTTGCGCTCCCCGTAGACGTGGTTCTTCCGTGGCTCCCGCCCGCCGCCGTTCTGGCTGGCGCGGGCCCGGCTGCCGATGCTCAGGTCCAGCGGCTGCTCCTCGCTGGACGAGGGTGCCGAAGGGCCCTTGGGCACGGGCAGGATGGGCTTCACGTCCTTGGGCTTGGTGGTGAGATCGAAGGGACACTCGGCGCTGGGGACGCCCGCCTTCAGGACGTCCCGGGGAGACTTGGGCTCCGTCTTGACGAGCAGGTTGTGGGCAAGGGCTCGGTCCGTGAAGGGGTAGAGGGAGTGGGGAAAGTTGGGCAGGAACTGGAAGGGGAAGGCCGAGTGGTAGGGCAGCGAGCCCAGCTTCTTCTCCTGCATCCCCATGAAGCCCGGGCCGAAGTACTTCTCGGCGATGGACGCGATGGCCTTGATGGAGTCCCCGGCGGCGCCCGTGGCGGTCAGCAGCTGCTCGTCAGGCGGCGGGAAGAATGAGTGCTGGGAGTAGAAGACGGGCACCTCGGCCACGCTGTTGGGGGCCCCCGTGGGCGCCAGGCCGCCCCCAAACTCGGGCTTGCCCTCGGCCGACTTGCCCCTGCCCTTCCCCTTGTCGGGGTCGCTGTCCACGTCGCTGTCCAGGTCCGAGCCTGTCCCCGTGGTGGTGTCCAGGTCGGTCCCTGTGGTGGTGTTGACGTCCTCAAAGTCGCTGCCGTCCGACACGTCGCTGCTCCTGGCCTTCAGCTTCTCCACTCGGGAGTCCTCCAGGCGGCTCTCGAACTTCTCCTCAGGGCCCGGGGCTGCCGGGGTGCCCTGGCTGCTGTTGCTGACGGCGGACACCAGGGGCAGGGCCGGGTTCCCCAGGGGGCTGGGCAGCTTGGCGTCCTGGGTGTGGTTCAGGGGGCTCTTGAGCAGTGGCGTGGGAGGTAGCAGAGGCGGCCGAGGGTACAAGGACGGAGGAAAGATGCCCGGGAAGCCGGGGGTGAGCGTGGGGAACGCGGGAGGCGCAGTGGAGAAGGGCAGGCTCCCCGGGTGCGGCCTGGAGGGGAAGTACTCGCTGAAGCCCAGGCTGGCGTGGTTGAGGTTGGGGGAGGGTTTTGCCTTGTCCATCATGGGGCTGGGGGTCAAGGGCAGGCCCGGGGCGAAGATGCCGCCTGGCGTGTAATGGTTCTTGCCCTCGCAGAAGCGCCGGTGCTTGTTGAGGGAGGAGGTAGTGCTGAACATCTGCCCACAGTCCTTGCACTTGATCTGCGTGCGGCAGTCGGCGTGCATCCGCTTGTGCCGGCACAGGTTGGAGAACTGCGTGTAGGACTTGTGGCAGACCTCACCTGAAACAGCAGCAGAGGCCAAACGAACCGCGTGAAATGACCAGGAAGCCCGCCACGGGAGGGGCAGGCCCGGGCGGGAAGCCGCTGTCCGGGTGCGCGCCCACGGGTACTGTGCATGCGTGTGTGTCTGCATACACTCACATATGAGGCAGTTGCATGCGTGTGTGGGGGGCAGGCATGTGGGTATTCTGTGAGTGTGCATGTCTGAGTGTGCGCACTTGTGCACACATGAGCATGTGGAAACATACGTGAGGGTGCATGCGCCCACCCCAAGGCTAGCCTCCCATGACCAGCACAGATCCCAGGGCTGGTTGGTCCAGACCCTGCCGTCCTCCACCCTCTCTGCTGGAGAATGGGCTCGCCACTGCTGTCCCCACCCTCCTCCCCCATGGTGTTGCTAGTTTGGGAGCCAAGATTTTCAGAAGCCCCTGACGAAGGCGAGCCTGCTCCCCAGGGCGGGCCACGGGCAAAGCGAAGGCATGTGATGGTGTCTGCCACTCCATCAGTGGATTCGGGGCAAGCTGGCTCAGGGCACGCCCTGCCTTCCTCTTCACTTCTGCTGCTTTTCCAGCAGGGGTGGGAGCAGGGCACTGAGCACACAGCCTGAGTCTCCTGCTATCTAGAAGTTCACAGTGTTACCAGCGGTCTCCCGCCTCCTCTCTCTGCCCCAGGTCCTGCCACCTGCACCCCAGAAGAAGGCAGCCTCTGGGGTGACATAGACAGTTCTTGAGGTTCTCAGGAGGCCCCAAGTCAGGGAGTCCAGACTTTGGGGCTCCTGGCAGTACAGGGCCACCCTTTGGAGACGGCTAGAGGTTGACAGGCACAGGAGGTCAACCCGGGCAGGGCCCTACTCAGAGGGACTTTTCTCTGCCTGAGAAAGTGAACATCCTACTCCTGAGAACCTCCTGGACTGGGATGGCGGCGCCAGTGCCTGGCTCTGGCCGGCGAGTGCCAGCATCTTCTCTCAACAGGAGAGGGCAGTGCTGGCCCAGCCAGACTCTGGACCCAGAGGCCTGGGGGCCCCGGCCATTTTCCTAAAGGCCTGTGAACGGTGTCAGTGAATTGCCAGCTTGTCTTTCGCCTCTTGTTTTTCTAAGGAGAAAGGGAGGAACACACACACATTCACACACACACAACCACCACACACACGTACACGCACATGCCCCCCACACCACCACACACATACACACACATGCACACACACAACCACCACACAATGTACACACATATGCACGCACACACACCCACCACACACACGTATACACACATGCACTCACATGTACACACATGCACGCCAACACCCACCACATACACACACACACACGCGCACACACACACACGCCCCGGCGAGCGTCTTTCTCTATAGGACAATTTGCTTCCTCCACACAGCCCTGTGGAAACAATGCTTCCAGCACGCTTCCTGCTCACCCTCGGCCGCCTGATCTCAGGCGATGCCAGCTGGGAGCTTTCTCTGAGATCACCGTGTTCTCTGATCACAACATCTATTTCTACTACCCGCTCTAGCTTCCTGCCCATCCAGCCTGGCGGGGCGTTTTCAAGGCTGAGGGGAGAAACTTTGTCTCGTTCCATCACATCTGCCCTCGCTGATGGAGAGGTGACCCTCCACAGGGTGGACCTATAAATACCCCTGGTCGCCTGCCTGGCCCTGAGGGAGGTGCTCAGGCCCTGCTGGCCACACAAGCACACCCTGACTCTGGCCCGGCCTTTGGCAGGTCCTGGTGGTACCTGGTCAGTGGCTGCTGCCATCTGGACTTGGAGACTGGCTTTGAGCAGCCTCTGGCCCAGGGCAGCTCCGAGGAGGGGCCTCCTGGGTAAGCGGCTGTGCTTGGGTTCAGGGACCATGGGTTCCCACCCATCTGCTCATTGATGGGGGGCTCGGCAGAAGGGCTGGGGAAGAAGAGAGGCCTTGAGAGACAGAGGTCCCTGCAGGGGAAGGTCCTGGACCCTGGGGATGGCCTCAGCTGGTTTGGAGCTGGCAGAGGGAGGCAGCTGCCTGAAGGGGCGGAGGACGGCCTGGGCAGCCAGCCCCTGCAGAGGGAGCCTCCCGGGGCCCTGCCAAGATGGGAGGGGTCCAGGCCAGGGCTCGCCCGGTCAGCAGTTTCTTCTCCTGGCAGGGTATCTGTGTGAATGCACACTCACACTTGCTCATACAGAACTCATACACACTGATACACGCACCAACTCAGTGCCCACACTCATACACTCATGTACGCACGTGCACAATTAGCGCAAAGGCCCTTCGTGAAAAGTGCCCATGTGAGCCTGTCCGCCCCATGCCCAGATACATGTCCCCTCTCTCCTGTCCTCCTCTCCTCTCTCCCTACGCCCCCTTTCTCTTACACACACAGGCACATGCACACGCACACACTCATATGCACACACACGTGCGTACAGACCCCAGTGCACAGGTGAGCTCCTTGGTGGGAAAGACATCACCAGGAGTGACAACCCCTCCATCTGGCCAGCGAGGTGGGGACCCGGGCTTCCTCCATCTGCCTGTACCCAGCCGGCAGGTGGACGCGGAGCCTGCCCGTGAGCACCGGCACCGCTGTGACCTCTCCTGCAAGCACTGACTGTTCTCGGAAAGGGCCACGCTGTTTGGACTCCCTTGCTTGTTCGCAAATTCTCCTCTCCAAGCCTGAAGACCCCCTTTGCGTGTGCACCAAAGGATGCTGTGTCACGGCCTGGGAGAGGCCGGGGCTGCGTCGCCTGTGTCTGACCTAATTTCTAAGTGAATGAGACCTTCATACATCCAATCTGGCCACATCCCGAGTTTTCCTTTTAGCTTCATCTCCTTAGCCAAAAGCCAAGCCACAAAGGTGATCCTGGAGTGTGGACAAGGGGTCCAAGAGCTGCTGAGGCTGAACAGGGCTAGCCGGACTTCCCTGTCCCGTCTCCACCACGCAAGGAGGGGAGTGTTTGCGGCATGGTGGGAGCTGAGGGCTGGAATGCCCCGGGTGCTGCAGCTCCTGGACATTTGTCATTAATACGATGCAATGGACTTTAGAAAGCTTGTCTGCACGCCCAGAGACGCAGGGATGTTTCAACCTTCTGAGCTTGCTACAGAGCTCCAGGCTGTCATCTGAGGCGCTCACTGGTGCTGATCTCACAGTGGGAGTCACTGCATCTGGGGGTGGTCATGTCCCTCCCCCGGCTCCCGCCCAGCTTGCCCGTACTGTTTTCTCCCAGAGGGAAGGCGTGCTATGCGGCGGGGCGCTGGAGCCGGGCACACACCAGGCATGCTCCTCCTGGGAGGTCGGTGGTCAGCAAATGGGAAAATGGCACTTGTGGAGTGGCCGGCAGGCAGAGCTCCTCCTCCCCTTGGTTCTCAGCTGGAGGGGGCGTGAGGTCCAGGTTGGGCTGGGGCTGAGTCACCCCTAGCAGGACAGCTCAATGCTGGGGCTTGTGCGGTGGATGGGACAGGCACAACCCAGGTGCTGACAGGGGCCTGGCTGGCTGGTGGGCATCGGTCAGTGCCTGAGTGGCCCACACCGGCGAGAATGCCTGAGCCCAGGTTCCCAAGCTCCCAGCGCCCCCCTCTCTCCACACAGATGCCACAGAGGCTGGAAGGCTCAAGTCACCCAGCCCCGGGCCAGGAGCCAGGCCCCTGGAGCTAAAGTCTGGGCTCCACAGCCTGGCCTGGAGCGCATGGTCACACAGAAGGGCCCCTCCCCAGGCTTCTGTGAGGGTGCTGTGTGAAGGCTTGGGAAGCCGTGACTCAGCAGACAGGAGCCTGCAGGGGCTTCTGACCTCACTGAGAATCAGGGTCAAAGTCGCAGCACTGGCCCACAAGGCCCCCAGGACCTGGCCCTGGTGACCGCTTACCTCTCTTTTATTTTTATTTCCTTAGAGACAGAGTGTTGCTCTGTTGCCCAGGCTGGGGTGCGGTGGCGTGATCTTGGCTCACCGTAGCCTCGACCTCTTGGGCTCAAGACATCCGCCCCCCCCTTAGCCCCCTGAGAGCTGGGACCGCAGGCACACGCTACCATGCTTGGCTAATTAAAAAACTTTTTTTTTTTTTTTTGGTAGAAACAGGGTCTTGCTACGTTGCTCAGGCTGGTCTCGAACTCCTGGCCTCAAGTGATCTTCCCATCTGGGCAGCCCAAAGTGCTGGGATTATGGGCGTGAGCTACCGCCTGGCCCTTTCTTCTCATCCCCTCACTCATTTCTCAAACACAGCCGCGCCTCGGGGCCTCTATGCTCACAGCTCCCTCCTGAGCCCCCCCACAGGTGCCCAGGGCTCCCTCTCCCTGCGTCTCTGCTAGAACGCCTCTTGGTGAACAGGCAGGCGCAGCTCCCATGCCAGGCTGCCAGCCCAGCCCCCTGTGAGGCTGTGGCCCGCAGAGCCGCACCCGGAGCCGTGCCTGCCACCTTGCTGTCTCCTCCTTTAGTGTGCGAGTCCCCTAAAGACAGCGGCTCTTTGATTCAGGGCTGGCCCTGCACTGGAACAGTGGAACAGCACTGGGCACACACTGGGCCACTAGAGACACCGCCCTGACAATCCCCATGGGTGTCTGTGGGGACTGTCACATGCACATCCTTCTGGAGCTCGGCAAGGGCAGGGAGTGAGTTTGGGGGACAGGAGTAGCCACAGCGAGGGAGGGGCCGGCTCCTTCTGCAGGACCCTGGTCCCTCGCATCACACACTGGCCCCCTCTAGCCCCTGTGAGCTGAAGCAAGGGGTGCTGTCGAGGACGGCAGGACAGGGAGCAGGGGGAGTGAGGGGCGAACACCAAGGGTGCCTGCCGGGGCCGGCTGCACATGGCAGAAATGTCAGAACCTGCCAGGAGTGCTCTGTAAACAAACGGGTCCCCTGGATGTGGGGAGACCTTGGGGGATGGCACACTTTGGCCTGACCCCACGGCAATCTGTGCACCCAGAGGGCGGGCAGCCAGGCTGGGCGACCACTTACATATGAAAGGTTTCACCGTGCTATGGATGTGTTTGTGCTGCTTCAGGCCGGAGGACGTGGCAAAGGTCTTCCCGCAGTCGGGGCAGGCGTGGGCCCGGGCGCCCACGTGCTGGGAGCGAATGTGCCGCTGAAGGTTGCTGGGGTCCGTGAACACCTGGAGAGAGGGACGCTGTGGGCTCGTGCCCCACGTGGACACCCGCCTGGGCGTGGTTCTGGCTGCTGGGCCAACGGCCACCAGGGCAGGGCCCTGCCTGTCTTTCTCGTCACGTTTCCCTCTGCCCTGAGCAGGCCGGGACAGGTCTCTGCTGTAGCAGCGACCCCCTGGATGGCCTCAGGTGGGCCACGGAGCCTCCTTGGCCGGCTTTCCTCCAGAGCAATTTCTGAACTGTGGCCATGAGACGGCATGAGACAGGGCTACAGCAAGCGTCTTCAGTGGTGGCACTGTGGCCTTGGGGGGCTGGGGGTGGAAGCTCACCCCTGCCAGCCTCTTCCTTCCACACTGGCAGGAAGGCAGGAGCTGAGCCCTGGAGGAGCCTGGGTTCTGGTCTTGCCCTGATCTTTCTGAGCTGGGGGTCAGTCTTCCCTGAGACTTCCTTTCCTTCCTAGTACCATGCAAGGCCCGTGTGACCCCGGGGCCTCCAACCTGCTCCGCCACGCTCCATGTGCAGGTGGGCCGGGGTGTAGGGAGCATGGGGGCTTCTGCTGCGTTGGGGCTGGGATGGGCCTGCCCCAGTGTTACCTTCACGCAGTTTTCACATTCGAAGCGTTTGCCGCTGTCGTGGGACATCTGGTGGCGGATGAGGTTGGACTTCCAGTTGAAGGCCTTGGGGCACTGGTCACATTTGTATTCTCGCTCCTCCGTGTGGACGACCATGTGCTGCTCCAGGCTGCACAGAGGACCGGGTCACTGCGGGGCCCGGCTGCTGCCCCTTGCCCTGGATGGGGACCCCAGCCCCACAGAGGCTGTTCCCAGCGCCCCCTCGGGGCCCCCGCCACACTGTCGGCGGATCAGGGCTGTGCTGGAGTCTCCCTGTCTACCTTCTCTCTGTGGTGGCCTGGGGTGAGGGGCAGAGGCGGCCTTCCCCCTAGCAGATGAGTAAGCTGGTGCCTGGAGAATGCCATCCCTCACCCAAGACCACCTCCAGGGCAGCCGGAGGCAGGGCGGGACCCCAGCCCACACTCCCTGGCTGCCTCTCAAGATGGTCCTGGCCTTGAGGCTAAGCTTGGGCCTGAGAAAAAGATGGTTCAACATTGGCATGAACCCAGGAGTGGGGCAAGTCCCTGAAACCCAAGGACGCCCCTCAGTGCTGGGCACACGCCGGGGAGGCAGGCCAGGAGTCACACGGGGGTCTCCAGGTGACACGAAGCCTGCAGAGCACAACTGCTCGGAGGGACCCTCCACTTGGATGAAGGAGCCGCTCTAATTTCCGGCTCTCGGGGGACCCCCGGCTTCCCCAGTCCCAGGGAGGACCGTTAATCTTCATGAGCAAAGCAGTGATATATCACGGCTCGTTAATTACGGGGCCGGCCATCCATTCCGATCAGAACCGCCTGGTTCCTGAGCATCAGGAGACTGTATCTTTTCCCCTGTTGTTAATTGTGATTTATGTGTTTATGTAAAGAAAACAGGGACCCTCTTGAGCGGCGTTTACTGGGAAGGGTCGCAGTCGGGATTTGCCCAAATGCTTATTTTCTCAGTCATCTGTTCCGGGTGGAGGGTTTGCCGTCCCCGGGGGTCGGCGTGGGGGTGGGCGGTAATCCCCAGCAATCACACAGCCGGGTAGCGGCCTGATGGGCTTTGCTCTGACTTTGCGAGGCTGTCCTGGAGGAAATCCTCAGAGGCAGGAGGAGGGGCCCGTGCTGGAAGGGCCTCCATAGCTCCTGCAGCGCTGGAGTGAATGTCCCAGTTTCACTCCCCACAGAGACCAGGAATCTTGCCTTTCCCAGGGGGTCACACAGGTCCCCAAGGCCACCTAGGCTCCAGATCCTGGCTGCTGCCTGGCCTCGGGGCAGGGGAGGGCCAGCCTGGGCCTGCTCGTCTCTAAGGCCCCTCCTGGCACAGGCCGCTGCCACCGTGGGGAGCAGGGCTGGTGGCCTGGGGATAGGGTGCCCCTGCCTACTCTTGGCCACCGTCTGGGAAGGAGTTGCCTGTGTGTCAGGAGGGCGGGGCCAGCATGAATCCCCTGGTGTCGGTGTCCATGCTGCCACCTCCATCCCAGCCTGGGACCTCCCTGCAGAAACACCCTGGGCTGAGTGGCTCTAGGTCTCAGGCTCTGGCCTGGGTTTCTTCTCCTTTCTAGTTTCTCCCTGAAGGGTAGCCCAGGTGGTGCAGGGCCCTGAGCCCAGGAGACAGTTTTCTGGGGGTCCCGACATTTGAGGTCAGAGCCAGGGGACACCTGCGGCTCCAGCCACGTGCTCCTGCACCTGCTCTGCCCGCAGCGCCAGTGTGCCAGCCATGGGGGCCCGCGCACATGTCCCCAGGGTATGTCACACTAGGGGCCCTTTGTCTCCACCTGTCAGGGAAGGTGAGGCAGGGGAAGGACAGGGAGGGAGACTGAGGGGAGGAGGCTGAGGGGAGGGACTGAGGGGAGGGAGACTGAGAGGAGGGGGGATGGGGGGGAGACACTGAGGGGAGGGAGACTGAGTCGAGGGGACTGAGTAGAGGAGACTGAGGAGGGGAGGCGGCGGCACCTGTACTTGCTGGGGAACATCCGCTCACAGTCCTTGCACTCGTGGGCTTGGCTGCTGCCACCGCCTAGGCCCTCAGGCTTGAGCTCCTCAGCCAGGCCCTCGTAGAGCGCGGCCCCCACCGAGCCACACGTGTACTTCTTGTGGCGCCGCAGGTCCAGCTTGGACGGGAAGAGCTCGTCACACTCGTCACAGCGGAACGTGGGCTCCTCTGCAAGAGAGAGAACCAGGCGGTGGTGAGCGAGCCGGAGACCCTGCCCAGGGCCCTTCGGGGGCTCTGGAGACCTGGCCCGCTCCCCGGTGCCCCCGGGCCTGCGCCCAGGCTGGCCAGTCCTGCTCTGCCTCCTTCCAGCCTTCATCCGGGTGCCCAGGAGCCTGCGCTGGGAACCTCAGGGATCAGCCCTAGGCAGCACCAAAGGCCCCCGTCAGAGGGAGCCCCGCGCGGCACTCGGCCCTGCCTGCGCCCCGGGCAGCCGCCGTGGACTGAAGAAGGCCCCGAGCTCGGGAGTGGAGGAGGAAGCCAGGCCAAGTGCTTTGTTTATGAATCAGGAGAAAAACGATGACAGCGCTCCAGTGCATATAATAAATTATTGTCGTCAAGGTCAAACAAATTAAAAGGGGGGCAGCCATTATTAAGCTTATGAGGCAGCATCCTGACTGGTCTGCCAAGGCAAACAGTCGGCCGGGAGCTGTCATCCTGGTGGGGGGGCTCCGGTCCCCGCCTCCCTGCCCGCAGCAGCCTTCCACCTAAGACGGGACGCCCCTCCCCACAGGACGCCTCTTCCCCCACAGCTCTGGAAAGAACGCTCATGCTGAGCTCTTTCCCAATGCACCGAAGGCTGCTGTGTATGCACCAGGGTGTGTGTGCATGGGTGCAGCTGTGTGTGCATGCAAATGTGGGTGCTGTCTCAGCATAGCTGCATCCACATCCCTGCACCTCTGTGTGACCGTGTGTGCACGTTTACGTGCTCACACCCATGCTTGTGTGAGCCGGCATGTGTACTCATGTGTGTGGGTGTGCCCGTGTTTTGGCATGCACCTACATGTGTGAATATTTGTGTGCATGGGTGGCTATGTTATGTGTGTTGTATGTATGTGTTTTATGTGCACAAATGTGCCTGTGAACGTGTATGTGAACATGCACATTGGGTGTTGACATACTTGTGTGTGTACGCCAATGGGTGAGTTCAGTCGTGCACGTGTGAATATGTGTACATGTTTGTATATGAATGTGCATGTGCTAATGTGCATGTTTGTGTGTGTGCATGTGGTGTGTGTGATGTGTGTGCATGTGATTGTGTGCATGTGATGTGTGTGTGCGTGTGATGTGGGTGTGCATGTGATGTGTGTGTGCATGTGATGTGTGCATGTGATGTGTTTGTGTGATGTGTGTATGGGATGTGTGTGTGTGCATGTGATGTGTGTGCATGTGATGTGTATGTGCATGTGATGAGTATGTGCATGTGATGTGTGTACATGTGATGTGTGTGATGTGTGTATGTGATGTGTTTGTGCCTGTGATGTGTGTGTGTGTGATGTGTGTATACGTGTGATGTGATGTGAGTGTGATGTATGTGTGTGATGTGTGTGTGCATGTGTGTGCTTGTGGGAGTGTTTGCACACACACAAGGACTGATGCAGGGCACAGTGCTGAGCAGAGTCTTCATGAACTTGGTCTGAATGTTGGCTCAAAGGCCTGAATGTGAGGATTGCTGAGGCAACGAGGTGGGGGTGGGGGCAGATGGAAGAGGTCTGTCACTTCCTGTCCCCTCCCTGTGTTGGAGAGACCACCATGGTCATGGGCCTTTCTGAGTCCTAAGGGAAGGGTGGGCTGCTCTGCAGACTGGGCAGTGCAGGGTTACCAGAAGTGGCACCTCCTTGCTGATGGGAAGCTTCCCTGAGCCTAAGGGTGGAGATGCTGGTATTTAGCCTGGGCCACCCCAGCACCCCTGTGGGTCCTCAGAGCCTGCCTCCCTGAGCCTCAGATGCCCAAGGTGGAGATTCCAGGGGTTGCCAGACCCGAGAGGCCACAGCACGCACACCGGATGGCACCCCCCTCACCCCGCAACCGAGGCACAGATGCCGGCTCGCAAGATGTGACTTTCGGTGCCGTCTTTGGACAGAGGTAAGTATCTGGCTGAGGGGACGGGCTGCCTGGCTGAGAGGTGCCCTGGGATGTGTGCATTGGGGGTGACTGGGCTGGCACCGCTGCTGGTCATGATGTACCAGACGCTGCGGTTTCATTCCCAGCCAGCGTCCCAGCATCCTGGCCCCGATTGCTGACCTGAGCCTCAGGAAAGCACTGGTTTGGGGGAAACAAGATGATGAAGGGAAAAAGCCGGGGGACGCCCAGAACCCGCAGTCACTTCCCGCAGGGCTGCGCTCCACACCGCAACTCTGGCTTCCGGGGCGCGGAAGGCTCCGTCCCAAACCTCTCTGGGAAGGCCGCCACCTGGAGCTTCCCAGACACTCACTGAACAAACCAAACCACCTAGGTGCTGCCAGGAGGGACCCTCAGACAGGATGCACACAGGGGGAGGAGGTGGCAGGGAATGCTCACCTTCAAAGTCTACAAAATGCCACCTTGAAATATGACTCAAGCCTGCAAATTCTTCAAAAAAGCCCACTGTGCGAATGACGTGGTGGCAAGGCTGGCACCTGGGGTCTAGTGGGAGCCCCATGGGGTAGGTCCTGTCTTAAGAACGTAAGAGAATCTGGGCACTGAAGCCTCGCCTCGGTCTGCGGGCACCCAGGTAAGTGCTACGGTATCCGTATGCCTGCTTCAGAACTGGCAAGCTGAGGCTGTGCGAGACGGAGTCACCTGTTCAAGGAAGAGGTGTGTGGGGGGGCTGCAGCCTGCCCGTGGTTTGGGGGTCGAGGAAGCAGGGCTGGCAGGGACCCAATTTCCCACTGAGGGTTTTGGGGAAAGCGAGGTGCGCCTGTGAGAGAGGGGGTGCTGGACGTCCCTCTCTTGGGCCTTCCCTTGTCTTTGGAAACTGGGATTTTCCCTGGGGAACACGGTCTGCAGATCTGGGCCCCAAGACTGTGGCAGCACACAGCAAGCCGCAGAGCCGGGAGCCGCCTGTGGGTGGATTCCAACTTCCCGGGCTGGAAGGAGGCTGAGATGGGGCCTCCGGCCAGCATCATGATCCAGTTAGAAATGCCAACTTGTGTTTCACTCTTTCTGGACCCGCTGAAGAACAATCGCAGAAGTTGAAATTTGAAAACAAAGACAAGAAGAAATGCCAGCCCCACCCCCTTGTATTACTGACCAACTTTTTTCCAGTTCTCATTTAGAATTTGGGATGAAAACAAAAATTTCGGTGGCAAATGAGAATTCAGTCTGATTCTCACTTTGACGGCCTTGGAGGGTGCCCTGGACGTGACGGGGCCAACTTCGGCGGCCGTCCCTGCCCTGCCGCTCCCTCTTCCCAGCGCTCCACGGAAGGAGCTGGGCCCCCATTGGAGGACAGAGCCGGGGACAGGACGCACCTGAGTCTGGCCCGCCCCTACCGAGTGGTGTGGACGGGTCTTCACCTGCGCGTCTTCCAGGCAGGTAAGGCTGGCCCTGAATACACCCCTGGGGCTCGAGGAGGGGTTCGGAATCGGGGGCAGAGTTGATGGCGTTTTCATTTTCTCAGCACAAGAAACTCTGTTTTAAAGAGATGCTGAAAGAACATGTCCTGTCCTGATACGATTTCCCCTCTTCCTATCTCTGATCTCACGGCCTGGCTGGCTCACACGCTCTGTGCCCCACGCACGGCCTCCTCTTGACCTCTTTTGGACAGAGGAGAAGCAAATCATTGTGAGGCTTTCTCAAAAGAAAAGCACATTGGAATGGAAGTGACTTTCTTCATTTTCCCCCAAGAGCAAAAAGTTCTCACAAAAGAGAATTCTTTCCTCTCCATTGTAATTGCAAAACTAAAACACAAAGTCGCATGTGTCTGAAAGTGGCTTCCCCGTGGCCTGAATCACTCGTGTGAAAATGGGCCGTGCATTCCTGACAGCTGTGGCTCTTCAGACGGAACGGGCCAGCCCAGGGACTGCAGGGTAGAGGCTCCGTTCTCCCAAAGCGGGCCGGCCCCCACGGGCCTCCTGTGTCTTTCTAGCTGCCTGAATGTGGTCTCCAGCCAAGCCCTCTTCTCCCAACAAAAGCACAAACCATAGTGAATGGAAATGAGAGTCTCTTCATTCTGCAGGGGTGTGTGGGGCTGGGGTACGGCATGAACCTGTCACCTACGTCAACTAAGCCAACGCCGTGGCGACCTCACGTCTTGTTTGCCACATCTGTGCCTTGCTTGCCTATCTGAAGTTCCATCGTCAACTTTGATGGCAGAGCAGGAATGTAACAGAAAAATAAATCGGTGCCTAATGGCCCCGGAGAGCCGAGGGGTTCACAATTATGCCGCGTCTATGTACTAATCTACCCGACTCGAGGCTCAAAGGAGCTGGAGAGCCTCCTCCAAGTCCCTGCAGTGATAAGGGGCTGGCTGCGTGGAGCTGGGGCTGGGATAAAAGATTTTTTATGATAATTATCTTAGTGAGGAACATTTTTGCATTTTCTTTCTGTGCAATGCAGAGTTTAGCTGGTGGGGGAGGTGGCTACTGGGGAGGCATGCTCTTGACAGGAAGGAGCAGGAAAAGTCAAATATTTGATGTTGGGCCATTATGTGTGGACAGCAATTAGCCCACAAGTGTTGGATAGATTATCAGGAAAATGTAGACCCACGTTATTTAATATCAGGGGCTGGACGGGGGTAGGGAGCAGAAATCAAGGTTTTTAAAAAACCTTTTGGAAGAAAGAAATTTCATTGTACTAATGAAATTCCATCGTCAAGCACTGTCCTAAGCCAAGGAGATTCGACTCTCGTGTTCTTGTGCACTAAGATTCATAGATCTTTTCAACAATTATTTTAAGGAAAATGAGACCTTCCCCTCGGCTACCCAGATCTCGGCAATTTATTTTTCTTTTCTCAACGGCCTAATTAAAACCAAACTTTAGAGGAGAGTACAGATAGAATCCGGCTCATAAAACTGTCCTTCTGTGGTCACTTCCTTCCGGACACTCCGGATATGATGGTCACTGCACCAAAGAAGGAGATTGGTGGTGGAAAGGGTAAATTAAGGCAGAGCTCTCCAGGTCTGGTCTCGAAGCCTTGCTGCTAATTCCAGCACCATTCTGTCACCGTGAAATCAGAGTGGCTCCTTAGACAAAGGTGCAGTGAACAGCATTCATCATTAAGCCTTGTGTGTTTGGTGGGGAGGTCAAAGAAGCCAGGAGGGAAACGCAGCCTCCCCCAGGGCTCCAGCACCAGGAGGGGTCACCCGCTCCGGAAACGGCCAGGAAGGAGCTCCTGTTCCTGTTCACTTGTGGGGTCTCACCCCAAAGAAAAGCAGCGAGGCTGGGACCCTGGAGCCATCTGCGCGGAGGGACAGGCGCGGAGCTGTGGGGCCAGGGACCCGTCGGGGACGGACGCGGAGGCAGGAATGAGCCTGTTGCTGGGAACGCCTCGTCTGTGCGGGACTGGGATTTTCTCAGGCACCCCCTCAGCTGTACTTGGGTGTGAAGGAAGGTGAAAGGGAAACCCACTTGTCACATCTCTACTCGACAGAGAGGGGCCGGCAGATGGAGGGAAAAGGAAACTTGGAAGCTTCCCGCAGCCCTGTCGGAAGAGTGGGGCGACTCCACACCACCGTGAGAGCAGCCTCAGACCCGACATTCTCCCTCCTGCCGGACGAAGTCGCCGCGAACACTCACTTCTCTGGGACGTTCGCTGCAGATGCACATCGCTTTTCAAGATGTATATGCCATCATCCACACTCTTAAATGAAACTGAAACTTGCCACACCGCAGAGAGCTCTGGGGCAGCCAGAAACGCTCCCAAGCTGAAAACTGCCTTGGTGTTTGTTCGTTTCTTTAGTACAGACGGGGAAAGCAAAGGCTGCTGTTGCTAATAAGAGCAACAGCCAGAATAGAACATAGTTTTGAGAAATCACCTGGGACCCTAACACTGCAAAGCTATAATCCACCTGATACCAATTCGCCCCCTGCCCGAAGGCCTTCTTAAATTCTGGGTGCAGCTCCTCTGCCCCAGGGAAGAGGAACAAGAGAGCCTTTATTTAGGTCGAGCCTTCGTGGGGGTGGGCAATTTCTGCAAAAAACGGGGATAGCCAGCAGTTGGGGCCACCTGGCCCTCATTAGGTGGCATGAGGGGATGAGAGGCCGTGGGTCCTCCCAGGCATCTGCTCCTCTTCTGGGTGGGCTGGGGGCTTCGAGGGACCGAGGCTGGGTTCGGGGAAGGGGTCTTACCGTCCAGGCTGGGCGGCACCGTGCCCATCGGGTAGACGCCTTCCTTCACGTGCACCAGCAGCTCCTCACCTGGCTCGATGTCCTTGATGACTTTATAGTAAATCTAGGAAGCAGAGACCAGAGGGCAGGGCTGAGTGTGGTTGATGGGTGTCTGGACAGCTCTCAGTGCACGCTCAGCCCTCACCCTGCGGACGCAGCTCGGCCTGCACTTGATTTTCCTCTAGTTGCCACCAAGGGGTCCCCTCTGGAACTTTAGAGTCTGCGCAGAAGGAAATGCATCTCCACTTTAATTTGCTTTATCCCGATATTGATATTGATAAAGAGGGTGGTAAACTGAACAGGTAGGGTTCATGTCAAAGTTCCCAGCTGGGGGCGTCCTGGGGGCGTCCTCGGGGCAGGGCAGAGCCCAGCTTCGACCAGGAGCCCACCTGGGTGGATTCTCAAGTTTCTTTTGTTCAATTTTGTGAATGTAAGCGAGATATCCTTTGCTGGTGGGGGGGTAGGGGAGGGGGAGCTTGGGGTGTGGAGTGAATTGGTTGTTTCTGAAAGTGGCCATGAGCTGAACCCTGGCCTGTGGGTCAGGTCTCCCGGGAGTGAGGAAGGCACGCGCCAGGATGGCTGGGTGGGCAGGACGGTGTGCCCGCTGTCGGCTTGGCACCTTTTGGTTGACCCCACAGGGGGAGTTGGGGATGGGGGACACCCTTGAGAATGGGGGGGGCTCAGGTAGACTCTGCAGCCTGGTCAAGCCCTGGGGGTTCCATTTGGAACTCTGCTCACTGAGCAGCGCTGCTGGGGCCTGTCACCGAGACTTGCCAGGGACCTCCCGAAAAGAGGAGATTGTCTTGGGGGTGTGGAAGGCGTGGCTGGGATGAAGAAAACTAGCAGTTCGGAAAGGGGAGGCTGGGCCGTCTGAGGCCTGGGCCAGGCAGCCAGCGCCAGGGACCCTGCGTCCGCAGTCTGGGAATGTGTGGCGGTAGGTGGGTTTCTCTCAGGGGCATCTCAGGAACACGCGGGTGTCTGAGACTCTCTTCTGATCACAGTAACTGGGGGGCTCCCAAGGGCCTGCAGGCCTGACTGGGGAGAGGCCCAAGGGAAATCCACCTGCCCCTCGGAGACCTGGGGCTGAGGCTTCTCCAGGAAAACAGGATGGGTCTAGACTCAGAAAGGGAAGCACTCCCAGGGGTGGAGGGGACATGGCCGTCCTTGTGGGGACTCTTCTGTCCCCACTGATCAGCCTATGTCAGGCCAGGCTCTCTAGCAGCTGGCCCTGGTTGGGGTTTGTGGCTGGACACGGCCGGGCACCCCAGAGACGGGGATGGGCATGGGTCCTGCACGCTCCTCCCCTGCCCCCCAACACTTGCGGATTTCACTACATTCCGCCCGTCCCAGCTTAATCCAGAATGACACCAAGGAACTCTCAAAAGGACACACAGAAGCCACAGCATGCCCGTAACACCCACTGGCTGTTACCCCCAAGGCACCCAGACAGGAGCTGCACGCCGGAGAACCCACAGGTGCAGTCTCACTCAGGAGTGTGGGAAGCTCTGATGACAGAGTCAGGTAAGGTGCTAAAATTGCGAGGAGACGCAGAAGTGGAGAGAGACTGCCCGTGCTAACTGCTCCAAGCAAACCCAGGGTCGTTAGGGTGCCGGTGTTGTATCATCTTATACAAAAAAAATCCCAAGTGGCTGAATAGTTGTTTCCTTTCTAAAAAGAAACTGGAGCCGCTGCATTTGAAAATCGGACCCTAAGTGGGCGATGGGAAGTGCCAGCCGGGGTGACCCTCTGAGAGGTACCATGGGTGGCATCATAGCAAAGGCAGGCCGCTGCCACCTGCACCCACCAGTGCAGGCAGCAGGGGCTGCTGAGTTAGTGCCTGGCCTGCTGACGCCCCTGGGACAGGTGGCCTGGCCTGGACCCTGGGTGGGAGAGGGGATGGTCAGCGGTGGAGGCTTCTCGTAAGAGGGCAGTGTGGACCCTGGCCGCCAGCCCCTTGGCTCCACTCCAGGCCGAGCTCCCACCCCCCAGCATCGAGGGTCATGACGTGAGACCTGGGGCATCCTCCCGCTATCCCGCTGCTCGGCTCTGCTCCAGTGGGGCACAGAGGGCTGGTGGGTGGGCGGGGGCTGGGCGGGGCCCTCCTGGATCCTCCACCTGGCCCCTTGGAGAGCTTCTGAGCCTCCAGGGACCCCCACTCGCACCCCATCCCTTCTCTGAAGGCCACAGGCTCTCCGGGGACACCGACCTAACTCCAGTGGTGAAGGCCACCCCGACTCCCTTCTCCTCTACACCCCATCCCCCCGGGGCAGCCAGATCTCCTGGGATGCCCCCCTCCCCACCCTAGTTCCAAGGATGTCAGGCCTCCCTCCTCCACCTCTTCGCGCAATCCGAGGGTCCCTCAGCCCCCTGGCCTCCCACCCTGGCTCCTGGGCACCAGACCTGCCAGGGGACCTCCCCTCCAGCTCGGACACGGCCCTGGAGCTGCCGCAGCTGGAGGGTCTAGTGTGCTGGGCCGCAGGCGCCCCCTCCCTGGCCCGGGACCCACAGGAGGAGGGTGCCTGGCCGGGCTCGTGCCAGGACACAGGGTGAGGCCTGTGCCTCAGCCAGGGGACTTTGAGCCGCAGTTGGAATTAATCACTATTAGTGTTGGTCTTGGGGCCCGAGGCAGGGTGGGTGGGGGCAGGTGGGGGCGGGTGGGGGTCCACGACCTGACTCCACCTGGCTGTGGGTCAGAGGTGAGCAGGAATCCGGGCGAACTTTTCCAGACTCGCAGGCCCGCCCTTGCCAGCGGCTCAGAGGTGCACACAAAAGCCGGCTGCGTTTTTACAGCCGGTCCCCGGTGCCACAAAGGCCTTATCAGCCAGACGTGCCGAGAACGCTGCTATTTCCGGTCAGCGGGGTCAGGCGGCTTCCCGGGACAAAGGCAGCGGCAGTGGGAACCGGGCGGGGGTCTGCGGACCCAGCCTGGGCCGGCTCCTGGCCGAGGGCGTCACACATGGCGCATTTACTGTAGTGCGGGCCCTTCCTGCAGGGCCTGTCATAAATTACGGCTGCAGCTCCCTAAACATTCCTGCGGCTGCTCCTAATCCGCCTTTCCTCGTGCGACCCACCCGCGGTGGGTCCCGCTGAGGCCGTGCTAAGTCAGCTTGGTGGGTGAAGTTTGTTCAAGCAAAAAGAAAGCCTGCAGTTCCTGATAGCCTTTAGCCCCCTGCGGAGGCCTCCGGGAGGGCGCCCGGCCCGGGAAAGGAAGAAGAACAGTGTATTTGCTTAAGCGCTGGGCTGTGAGCATCCGTGCCTTTTTATAAACACTTGCGTCCGCGGCGCTGCTGCAGCGGTGCCTGAGTCCCTGGGTTGTGCTGCACGGGTGAGGCTGGGATTTTCTCTTTGGTTTAAGAATCCGAGAGGGCGGGGAACCCTCTTCACAGCAGCTGAGTTTACTAGCGCCAATAAATGTCTGCTCTAAACGGCTTTAAAAAATAATGATGGCAAACAGACTTGATCTGAAGTGAAGTCCTGGTTTCAACACTTGAGGTTCTTTGTGACAGCAATGGCTTCACTGAGCGTGGGCGAGCAGCACGGAACGCGGGTCCGCGGGACGGGAGCTGGAGCCAGTGTGACCCTGCCCGTTTTCTCTGTCTTTTATCACCTTCCAGACACAAAGAGGCGGCTTCTGGTAGGTAAATGGAGTTCTGGAAAAAATAAATGGCCACGTTCTCAACAGAAGGCAGAGACATTGCCGCAGAGAAGCCTGGAGCCAGCCCAGGCCACGTTCATTGAGACGGAGCCTTTTATGAAAATTAGTATCGTTGCTCCCAACAGTATTCTCTACGACACGGGCATCACGTGCGTGTGCGGTGGCTGCCAGCTTTGGGATGCCTTCTCCCTACGAGTCTTAAGTGCATTTTTAAAAATATCAAATCAACTCACAAGAAAAGAGACGACTTTCGAGTATGAAGCCCTGAGTGCTACGGTTTTCATTCCCACTTAATCATAGAATTTAACACTATAAATAGACGAAAAGCTCCATGCAAATTCCACCAGGTGGGACCCCTGGACTCCAGACTAAAAGGCAGTGGCTGAATCCCAGCGGCGGCCGTTCCTTTTCTCTCCTTCCTGGAATCACTGATTTTTTTCCATCAATCGGACTTTTGGGCATTCTTGCCTCTCTTTTTTGACCAGAAACTTTAAAGGATGCTGGAATAAGATCAGTGAACCCTCCTTCCATGTGCTTATCATAAAAAGCTCAATGGCTCACACTCCGGATTTCAGAATTTAACTGTGCCTGAGTTGGCGAAGGCTTTGGGGTGCTGTGTGAGAGGCTCTTCTCACAAACGACGAGAAAGCAGCCAGTGGAATTTGAATTCTTCTAAAATCGTTTCCAAAAAGCAAATTCCCCTGGTGGCCCCGTCTGCTTCTCACCTGTCCTTGGGAGAGAGGGTTGTCCACGGCACTTGTGTTTTAGCTCTGGGGATCCCACCCCCCCCAGGTGGCTGGGTCTCTGCTGACTCCTGGCTTCATTTTAACTCCTTGCTGTCCCCACGCGCTGTGAGTGTGGGAAAGCACTGTGATTCCCCTGAGCCGCGAGGCTGGTCCAGGAGCTGAGAACGTAGTGATGAAGAAATAACCCTAGTCGATGCCCTAAGTGCCAGCAGGGGCAGCGCCGGGGTTTGGGCAGAGGCCTCCTTCTCTGTCCTGTGTGCATGCCTGTGTCCGGGAGCCTGCCTCGGGCCGGCTTCGCTTCCTGGCTTCCTCTGTGCTGAGCGGAGCGAGGGGACCATAGCCAGGCTCTGGGACTCGCAGACAGTCCGTCCTCTGGCCGGACGAGGAAAAGGCCACCGGAGCCCCGGGCTTGGCCACATGCTTCTCCCGCGCGTGGCTGAAACATTTTCAGACCCAGACATGAAATAAAACTCTGTGTACACTTATCCGTTTCTTAGTGGTGTGGTTTGGATGTGGATTATAAAAACACAAATGATGGGTCTGCAGTTAAATTACTTTGATCATTTTTAAACAGCATCTTCTAGTAAAGGGAACCTGTGATGAGCAGGACCGGAATATACAAGTCCCGACAGGTGGTTTGCGTGGGGGTTCAGGTGGCACAGC